GATTCGCTTGCATCCATGGATGGCCCGCGACCATATACAGCGACCCAGGTTCTCAGCTAGTCGGTGCCGACCGAGAATTAAAAGAAGCTTGGAAAAGTATTGATCGTGATGCGCTGCATACAAACGGTGTTCAAAATGGACTAACCTGGCTATTCGGTCCTGCGGACAGTCCGTGGAATCAAGGAAAAGTCGAAGCATTAGTCAAAGCGGCCAAAAGAGCAATTCATTTTGCGGTTCACAACAAGCGTCTCACCGTATCGGAATTTCTCACGATTTGCTACGAAGTGGCCAACCTGCTCAACGAACGTCCTATTGGCACGCTGCCCGGAGCAGACTCAAACCTGAATATTCTTACACCGAATACTCTCTTGTTGGGTCGTGCCTGTGCGAAGAATCCTGGAAATTGGCAGCCTACCCGAGAACCTATCACCAAGCGCTATCATTTTGTACAAGCAGTCGTAAGCGAATTCTGGGCCAAATGGATCGAGTTGTGTGCCCCCGCGTTAGTGACCAGATACAAGTGGACCGAGCCCTCTCGAAACCTCCAACCAGGAGATATAGTTCTTATAGCTGATAAAAGCCCAATAAAGGGAGATTACCGATTAGGAATGATCCACGAAGTATTTCCTGGCAAAGACGGTAAGGTGCGAAGAGCGTTGGTTAAGTACAAGAATTATAAAGTTGGCAAAAGGAATCATGAGTATACAGGGTGCGAAGAAGTGATTGTTTCTCGTAGTGTTCATCGTTTAGCCCTTTTGGTGCCAGTGGAATACGATCAAGAAAAACACGACGAAGACTAATCAAAAAACGACTCTGATTGAGTTCATTAAAACTCTGAACCACTAAGCAGGAACTTTAGACAGCATGACATTAGTTTACATTTTGTTATTTTGTTAATGCGATCGCGTCGACCCTCACCCTCCCGGTGTATTAGGATAGTGCAATTGCGAGGACCGCACGCGTGTTTCGAGCGATCGCGCCAAATTCAGTCACGTGACTTGGGGAAAGAGAACAAAAGAGAAGTCCGCCATTATTCAAGATAGAGATACAAAACAGTGTTTTACCGACTTATTTAAACATCAAGCGGCTTCTTTTGACTTTATTGTTTGTTGAAGTTTGGATCAACATTAAGTTTGTATGATTTAATTGTAAGAAGCAAGATTTTTGAATATATTTTGTATGTTTACGTATATGACATGTCGTGTTGAAACCTGTTTCTGTGCGCTTTATCAATTTTGACTATGAATTATACCGCATCCCGGTACACACAGTTACATTTATAACAGGCATATTATATAATTGTCATGCAGGTTGCCGTAAGAATATACGCGCCATTACGTTGTCCAGAAGACGATGCACATTTAGTGAGGACGTTCATTCCAAAACTTGTCCGTAGAATGCATGGTTGAGCATGCAGCTACCACGCAAATTTACAATACAACAATGATTTTAGTATAACAAATGTAGAGAGCTTCAAATTTCACTATGGCTCCCGCTACGGCTTAACGAGATTCGTCATTTTGGCGGGAAACGTACGTTGTATGCATACGCCACCTCGTGCCGGCAGGATAAACCTTGGCGACTGACTACCATAGTAAACGCGTGTTTATATTATTAAGTGTTTTGAAAATATTTATATCAATGTTTATAATTGCTAAAATGCACGTAAGCGCAGCAATGGTCGTGAAAAACAGCTCTACTTTTTCGAAGAAAAATGAAGAAAATATCAACTCGTATATTGCTTTTTAAAACTTTTAGTAAGGATACGGAGTTTTCTGCAATTCGTTATCTTTGTGTATGACTATTGTATGCCGTTGTGTATGACTATGTAACTGGGTAGTCTTGAACCTACGGTTTCTGTATCAGGTTTCGTTTTGTTCAAGTTTGATCTTAATTTTTATTAGATACGAGTTCGGACACACACAGTAAAAACATTATATTATCATGCATTCATATGACATTAGCTACAATATACAACTATTTAATCTAACAATGCATTCTTCATAATAACATGTATAAAACTTCCGAAGTCGCTGAAAGCTTATCCTGTTTGGCTTCGCTAATGTTTACGACTATTGAGAACTGATGCAGGCGTTGTTGCTCCTAACGCGCCACATCTCGAGTGTAAATATTAGCAAAATAACCATGGGCATGCATTTCACATTTGCTGAGATGGATTCGTCAGTATATAAGATTCAATAACACTCGAAAACACAAAAGGAATTCTGCGGGAGGTCCTTTAGAAACTCCCGCATCTTTAAATTAACAATTTGTTCAAACCTCCCACTCCATACTAACGATTTCCTAGAGGGCTCAGAAAGCCAAGCTGAGATTAACAACAGATGCTCCACACATGCTCAAGTTCCAAGCGATTGTTGCTACTCAAGGCGAAGTGTGTCCCCGTGAAAAATCCTTATATTAATGCATATCTGTGCAAACGATGATGTGCTCTTGGCAAATGTATATTCCAATTAGATGAATATTATAATATAGTACGTCTATCGTATAACCTTTCTTAGCTGACGTTTATTTTGTCTAAAATCACGCTTGTATTTTGTGTTGGTATCCAAATGTTAGTCAAAATGAACCTGACCAATGTCAATGGTCAGAGTTGGTGTTAGAAGCCTGACACTAGCTCGCACGTTCAGCAGAACTGTTATCGACAGGTGTTTTCAGTTTTCCGACAACCGTATGCATGGTTATACTTCACAGCGGATATAATACGTGCAAGCATATCTTCCAAGCTCATTTTTTGCCATGTTTCGATTTTGTCAGTATAGCGTCAAATAATTATGCATTGTATATTCAAGAGAGATCCTGGTGATTTTGATGCTGAAGGAACTGGACGGCATACTCTGTATATTCCCTATATGGCTATCTCGTAGGTCAATACCTGCCTGGATAATTGTAAGGTACTTATATGTTGTATGATTTCGACTCTTTATACACCCACAACATTTGATGCACAACTATAAGCCTACCGTTAACGACCCACCTTTTGCAAACTTAATTCACAATTTACACTACTAGCAGGGTCTGAACACATTGAAGTTAAAGGAAGGAAGCCTCGACTTCTCTCTCATTTATGATTGTAAACATTCCTTCGATTGTAAACATATCCGAAATCTACATGCTATCACTGAATATAACCAACACGGAAATTTAGGGAAATTATATGCAGTCATACATTTGAGAATTTTTCAAAATTTAATTTCTTTAGCTGGAAAAAAAAATAAAACCCCTTAGCTTGCCATATAGGGTTATAAAGTCGATATTTTCCAAATTTCATGCAAACACTAGCATGATAGTAACTATATATATATACATACAATGCAATCCTGAATCGTTGGGCTAGCTACGCGATTTTACGCAAAGAGAAGAAGAGGTTACAGGTCTTTACAGTTCTACAATTTAGGCACTCGCCACTCAGTGTTTACTTTTACCATTGATAAAATGAATGCGCCATGTGACTAGTTTCTTTACAAGGTATTAAGCATGTAAGATTTCTAAAAGTTTAAATCTAGTTTGACGAGATTGCAACGGAGAGACGAGGAGATCCGCTTTTTGTTGCATGCTTATCTGTTACTGCTAAGTTACGATATACGTAATATGTTTATACTGCTCATGACGTGGCTTATTTTGGGTTGTGAGAAAGTTTGCTTCTAAACTTGTAATTCGTCAGTGGAATGCCTGGTTAAGCAGCGAACACGTCAACTGAATAATTTTAAAGCCGGTTGTTATAACATGACCAAATTGTGGAAATTTGAGATCGACCTAATATTCTTTTTACGATCTAAATTTCCACAAGTATGGCATGAGCGCGGTAGATGGTATAATACGTGGTGTATAGGTATACTAACTATATGATACCGTTTCCTTCAGCATAAAAACCAGTCACCGTGCGATATAAACAATATATGTCGATTTCTATACACGTCATATACCCTATATAAGCTGTCTATCAATTTCTGCCTAGTCGGTGGAAAGTCCATAGACCCAAGTCTGTCCTCCGTTTCACGGTAGTTTTATACGGGCCTCAGAATATTCTGATATTTTTCTCTTGCAGTTAAACCACGCAATATGGAATTTGAAAGTGCATGTGATTTCAGTAATTTGGTCAATTATCTATGGTAGTTATTTAAATGTATACAAACTTAAACATAGAACCAAGTCCGGTTGATTGTAGATAGATGACAAAACTGAAGTGCATCGAATTTGCGAGTGCATGTAGTTTGGTTTACTTTGGAAAGAAAGCTGAAATACTGAATTAGAACACAACACGAATTTCTAGGAAAGTAAACTCAACAAGTCTCCTCAGTGTAGTCAGGCATAGACTGATCCATAAAATGAAATGAAGCAACCATTTTAACGAACGATATATATATATATATATATATATATATATATATATATTTAATATATATAATTATATATATATACTCAGATAATTAGTAATTTTAAGATTTTAAATAATAATATATATATATATATATATATATATATATATATATATATATATACATATATATAATATATATATATTATATATATATATTATATATATACTCAGATAATTAGTAATTTTAAGATTATAATAATAACATATATATATATATATATATATATATATATATATATATATATATATATATATATATATATATATATATATATATATATATAATACATATATATAATATATATATATATATATATAATATTATATATATATATATATATACATATATATATACATATATATAATATATAAACGCCCGTATTCACTACGACAGCGATGGATATTAATTTTTGCAGATTTCAGCAGATTTTATATCTTGTATATTCACCGCTAGAGTTCGAAATCGCGAAAATTAAATCTAGCAAAATGTGACTCTGACAAACTTGCGAAATTAAATACGCGTGAAATGGATCCTCACGTGGATCGCGCGAGTGGTCTTCGTGATTGCGTCATTTGCGTGGCGTGCATTCTATTGCAAAAATTCATCTGGGAAATTCCAATACAGGTAGAGAGGCCCCCAGTTTGGAAGTAAAATAGATTTTAAACCGGTTTAGAGCTTGCAAAAATGTCTGCTAGTCGTGTTGCAGTTGTCACAGGCGGAAATAAAGGCATCGGTTATGAGATAGTGAAAGAATTATGCTCGAAATTTGCAGGGATTGTTTACTTGACCGCTCGAGACAAGGATCGCGGTTTGGCTGCTTGCGAGAGGTTGGTGATGGAAGGCTGTAAAAACCCTCCTAAATTTCATCAACTCGACATCGCCAGCGAAGAAAGCGTCGAGAAATTCCGAGATCACATCAAGGAAACCTACCAGGGGTTGGATGTCCTCGTCAATAACGCGGGAATGGCCTACAAGAAGAAATCAACTGCCCCTTTTGCAGAACAGGCAGAAAATACAATCAAGGTAAATTTCTTGGGGACCTTGAATCTTTGCAAGAGTCTATTCCCGTTGCTGAAGCCACATGCAAGGGTAGTGAATGTGGCATCCATGGCAGGGATGCTGCGTAGAATCACAACCGAATCTTTGAAAGATGAGTTAACACGGCCAGATATCACAGAATCTGAGCTGGTTGGTTTGATTCAGCAGTTTGTTGATGCTACCAAGGCGGGTGACCATGAGTCCAAAGGATGGCCAACTCAAAGCTATGCTGTTTCCAAGTTAGCTTTAAACATCCTCACCACAATTCAAGCAAGAGATCGTCCTTATGATAAAGACACAGATGTGCTGATAAATTCTTGCTGTCCTGGATGGTGTAGAACTGACATGGCAGGTCCAAATGCGACAAAGTCCGCAGCCGAAGGTGCAGAAACACCTGTCTTCCTTGCCCTTATTCCACCACGATCAGAGCAACCCCATGGAAAGTTTTATTTTGAGCTAAAGGAGATATCCTGGAAATAGACAGTTTTCGGCAGTTGATATAACTAATTTTATATAATTTATATTCTATCTGTGATTCAATCAACTACCTGTAATTTTTCCCTGATGAGTGAAATCATCCCCTCTTCAAAAGAGATTTACATATAGGCACATAACTTAGGCACCTACTTAGACTTAAAATTACTTATACTTAGAATTACTTTTACTTAGACATACAGCTTTTTAATTGTTATAAAAAATTACATGGATGAAATGGAGCTAAAATGGCCCCTTCTACTGTTTTTGATGTATTTCAAGTTTGGAAAGTTCAATTTTTTAAACAGCTTGAGTGGCAATGCTCTAGGATTTACCATTACTGTTTGTTTTTGAAATCTAGTAATTGCATATATATTGCCATATATAATGATTGCATTTACATTATATTTCATCCAGGATTTTCTAATAAATTTTAGCAACCTTGGTAATAAACATGGGGACCTTTTATATTCTTTTTGTATTTTTTTATCATTCATTGTTACATATCATTCAATATCATTCATTGTATTTTTATATCATTCATCGATCAGTTTGGGAATAAATACAGAAAATCTAGAAGCAATAGACCTTATCATATTGATTAGGAAAAGATTTTAGCTCTAAAATAAATATTATACACTTAATTAATGTATGCTCCCAAGGGAAACAAAACACTTAATGTACACTACCTTGGGAAAACAAAACTCACTATTTCCTGAGGTAGTGTACATTAAGTGTTTTGTTTTATAGGAACAAAAACACACATGTTACAGAACAATTTCATTTAAAAAAGAAACCCACTTCACTTTTAAAAATTTTATGAACAGTTTCATGAACTTTTTGGTGTTTCATTCTTTGAGGATAGAAAATGTTAAGTTCAATGTTTTAGCCAAAAAATCGCGAAATGTTCAGTGGTTGCAATCGGTAATGTGTTAAACTACTCATTTTCAACAGTGGCTTTAGAGTTTAGATGACAATTCGTGATATAGTAGGACACATTTTGCATAATTTATGTTAAATTAGAATGCAGTGTATTTCCCGCCTTTTTTGTTACCTTTATTGCTACGGCAAAATAACTTCAAGCCTAACTTTATTTTGTTCCGTATAATTATATGATGTCGATATCACATATCAAAATTCAAAACATATAAAATTTGGGCCATTTCTAAATCATGGAGAGTGATGGAGTTCTCCAATGTTCAACCTCGCAATGTTATGAGCAGAACCGATGCGCAGAAGCCGCTGTAAGCTGCCTTCAGTTAAGCCATTCGACTTGTTTTTTATTTTCCGGTAAAAATGTTATTTTAGGTATGTTGACACTTTCGAAAATACAGCGTGAAACTGAAACGTTTATAATATTTGGCCAGCGTCTGGCAGAAGCCAAAAATAGCTCGCTGTGAATGAGACCACTGTCAAATATTACTTTAAAAGAATTAACAAGACAAAGCCGAGAGAATTTGCATAAGATTAAACCGGAAAAGAGATTAGACCTCGCCTTGTATTGGTTTTGAAACTGTTAAGTTCATCAGATTTGATGTTGATGTTGATGTTCAGGATGTCAACATCAAACCGCACCAGAAACAGAGCTTCACGCTAGGGAGTAGGTTCAGTACGAAAGAGGTTAGACAACACCTGTTTTAACCACCAATGTTTTAAAATATTTACTTTCACATAGCATTTAGCTATTGAATACTACATACTACTGTGCTATATATAGATCAGTCATTCATCTAGCCAATCAGAGCACCGGAATCTGAGTAACATCACGGAAGCAAATGCAGTGGGTACTGGACATGAGTAATGCTCGATCCAGGTTCATTGATTACTTAGTTCGTCATGCTCTCAAAAGTAAAATAAAATAAAGATAGAGGCTTTAATTTTCAAGCGATCAGATTAAATTTTCATCGCTGTTTTAATTAAAAAGATAATGTAATATGGACCCAAATGTTTGGAAAGTCTGCCGCCTAAAATAGACCTGTCTTGAAATTGACCGGTTTCGAAATATTTCTGGTCACAGTGATGCTGATCCTAAGCGTCGTCATGTGTTTATTTTTGCCATTTGGACAGTTGTCACGTCAAAAATTTAGCTCGACATTTTGGCGGCAAACGGCTGACGGCTAAATTCGTTTCTACGTGCAATCACAGAATACCTATCAGGGGCCGGTTGTTCGAAAGGCGTTTAGCTTAAACGGTGGATAAGCCAAAGTTTAAAAATACTCTCATAGATCTTGTGAATGACTGAACCTGCATCTTATGCGTTTAATATGTACTTTCATTGAAAATTAAACTATTTACATCAAAATATTTCAGCTCAGTTGTTCAATAAATCGATAATTTTGTTTTCCATTTTGAACTTATCCACCGTTTAAGCTAAACGCCTTTCGAACAACCAGCCCCAGAAGTAGAACTCCTGTACTTTTTTCTAAGTGTGATTCGTCATGATTCGTCACTTAGCAAGTGCATTTTTTGAGGTAGTCACCCCCCTGCCAATACTAAAAATGGGCTGATTTTAGACATTGGCAGGGGGGTGACAGCCTCAAAAAAATGCACTTGCTAAGTGACGAATCATGGAATCACACTTACGAAAAAATAATATAGAGTTATTCTTCTGATTGACATGTTTTGTTGCACGTTTCCAAACCTACCATATTGTGTACACAATCACCAATGAAACGTTACATGGAATTCAAAAATTGATTTATCGATATATCTTAAAAAGTAAACCACTTAACTTATCATATATTTTTTAATTTTAATATTCTAATGTTTACAACTTCCGTCACGGACAACGTGAATCAAAACCCGTCAGTTTTTTTTTACCTTTTTGTGTCTTCGAAAAGTCAAAATTATCGGATGAAAGTCGATACGAGTTTGCCAGGTTCGACCTATATACCGCGATATATTTTCATATAGTCACAAACTACAGCGTAATAGTCAGCGAAAGCCAGTAAGTGTTGTTTTTTTGTCTTTCGTTCGCATAAAAGTTCGCTGCTAAGTGCTTGCTTTGTGCTTTTGCTCTTTAGGTTCAAGTGGTCTGAAATATTCAACAATCGAAGCCGTTTTGTTGAATTTTTTTAGCAGCTTTAAAGCTAGAGACTTGATGCTTTTATATGTCCGAAAAAGTCGCCTTTTGACAGACGATTTGTGAATAACAAGATTATTTTCACCAGACTTCATCCCATTGTCCAATGTTAATATCTCAATTTACATACGGATAAGAGTAACAATCGTTGTGAATTCAAAATTAAACACTCGTGCAGAGATCTATTCACGATTATCCCGACAGGAAAGCTTTTTTAAACAAAGCACAGCAAACATTAGCCAAAACCGCACCAAACACGCCTTGGTTAACGTGAATAAAGCGAAGACAAAGGAATTGGCCGCCATGAACATCAAACTCTTCTGAAACTCGACTACGACCGTAAATTACCCCGAAGAATTTTAAGTGTCTAAGTAATGAGTTTGGGTTTTGGTCGAGGGTCGAGGGTCGAGGGTAGTAAGTCGAGGGTCGAGAGTGAGGTCGAGGGTAAAGTCGAGGGTAAAGTCGAGGGTCAATTTTTATCGCATTTTACAATCGGCAAAGTCGAGGGTAAAGTCGAGGGTCGATTTTTATCGCATTTTACAATCGGCAAAGTCGAGGGTGAAGTCGAGGGTCAATTTTTATCGCATTTTGCAATCGGCAATTGTAAATGCCACATTATAAATGCACTATTGTAAATGCCACATTGGCCACTGTTTTGCAATAGCGCGTATCGAAATATATCAAACACACACTAACACAGGTCCGTTTATCTACATAAATACTCAAGAAACACCATCCTTGCTGATTTAAATCGAACTTCAATGTCTTAAGTAACGACACTGCACTGGCCGTGCACATTAAGACACCAAGGCCAACATCACTATTCACTATAACTCATCATGAATGCATGTGCGCGTGAAGTATTTTCGCATTGATGATAAAACCAGCTTTTGCCTATATATCTGTTAGCTTTCAATTTGTGTCTTGTGTCGACCTATTTTAATAATTCTACATTATTCTTGTGATTGCTTACAATTGAAATACATATTGTTCCATACTTACAATGATTATTGTAACTGGAGTTTCTTCCTTCAGTTCCTTGGAGGGTCCTGCGCCTGGGTCGTTTAATTGTTTTTCCTGTATGCGTTACACGCGAAAGAAATTTAGTGTCTGATTAGCACAGTGAGTCTATTTACATCTTCATGTTACGAAATGCGTATATATAATGTAATTTAGCATTGTTAAGAAATAGAAGGTCAATATAGATGAGGAAATTACTTGGGGAACATGTCACATAAAATGAAGTGTAAAGTAAATATTATTATGACCCGGAATCACAAAATTACTTTTCCTGTCATGAGGTGACAGCCCATGGGATTTCCTCCGAAACAATAGTATGTCGTACAAAGTACAAGTGTCACGACTTAAGAACATAAGTTCTAGGCGGATACTAGTTTATGTCAATCATGTCTTTGTTATACTTTGCTCGGTTAAGCACTTGAAGCCTTACGTCATTAAAAGCTTAATTCGATGAAATTATTAGTAAAATAGTTTATAAGTTACGGTTCACAGAGTAATAAGTTGATAATTGTACTTTAAGTTGATGATAAATATTTTAAGTTGTGAACAAGTTTTAACAGTGATCGATTAAGTAAAAGACCAACTTGACTAGTGCGTCACCGGCCTTAAGTAAACAAAGTATGAGAGCTGGACCGAGCTTCTAACGCCAACCCACACTTACAACCTACAACGCTGATTGGATTGTGTGAATCACATCACCTTGCACAGGGCGTCTTCAAGATCCCCTCAAATTTTATTATAAAAGGAGGCGCACAGCAACAGAACATTCAGTGGACTAAATACGAGAGTGGACTAAAAGGAGTGGATTAAACACGAGAGTGGACTAAAAGGAGTGGACTAAACACGAGAGTGGACTAAAAGGAGTGGACTAAACACGAGAGTGGACTAAAAGGAGTGGACTAGCGGAGTAAAAAAACCATATGAAACGTTGGAGAAGCTCAACCTAACAGAACATTCAGTGGACTAGCGGAGTAAAGATTAACTTATGAAACGTTAGGAAGCTCAACGACAGAACTGACGAAGAAGACAAGAACATTTAACGACGATCAAGATCGAAGATAGGAAAAGAAGAGAACAGTAACGAACTTTAGTTGAAGTATTGTAACGATCCACTACCTCGCGTAGAAATAAAACCACATAACATTCAGATCGATGCTTTAACGAGTCAAAGTTATGTTATACAACCATACCTTGCTTAATGACAATGCCATTCGAAGGGCGACTTCTTCGTCCTCGTGCTGAAATGCTCTTAGCAAGTTAGCCAGTTTGGCTGCCGGCTACTATTTGAATTTTCTGTCTTAATCTCGTTTTTACTACAACGCCCGGACACAATTTCGCTATACAATTTCTTCGGCATATTTATCTTTAGTCCAACAAAGATTCGAGTAGAAATATTCGCTAGCGGATAGAAAGCTGTATTTACCAAGCCAAGAGTTCAGTAAAGTGAAAACCGACACCACATGGCACATCGTCTCACCACTATGTCGGCAATTCGAGGTGACAACTCGGATATTATTAAGACACAGGAATCAAAAAACAAAAAAGTGAGACCGAAAGATGGGAAGATGTTCATGCAAGAGAATTAATTAATAAGTTTAACCCGTTTTGGAAGTCTGACTTGTAAAATATAATGCCCAAAGATTCATAAATTGCAACTGCAATCTGTATGTATACTTATACATATAATTTGTATAGCTTGCGCTGTATCGCATATTGCGTAGAAGAAAATATTAGCAATAATAATATTAATAATATTAATATTAATTACAATACATTATTAGTATAGGCAAATTGTGAATTTCTACAATTGACCCTCGACTTCACCCTCGACATTGCCGATTGTAAAATGCGATAAAAATCGACCCTCGACTTTACCCTCGACCTCACTCTCGACCCTCGACTTACTAGCCTCGACCCTCGACCCTCGACCAAAACCCAAACTCCTAAGTAATTTGTGGGCGCGGAGGTCTTAAATCACTCTTGAATTTGTTTTGGAATTTCTCGTGTACTGTGCAAAAGTTTTGCGTGGATAGTGTATCGAGGGGATGAAATTAGGCCGGAAGTTGATGAACATTTGATGGAAAATATAAATAAATAGTGGATACATAGGGATAAGTGGATAGTGAAAGTGGATGGTAAGAGTGGATAGTGGCACCATGATTTTGGACTGCCGAGTTTAATACGGCTAAGAAACAAGTGCTCTTAATCTAGCCATTTGCGATCTATGATTAAATAAATGCCTTATCGAAAATAACTGTCAATGCTGTCATTTCATTGTAGAAGGTATTCATATTTAGAAGATATTTTCCAAGCCTCTTTTGATTAGAAAAAATTCAATATATGTTATAGATTAGCTATACATGTCTCCACGTTGCTATGGGTAGAACCGTTGGGCAAAACGACATTTATATATTGCCTTATTTATATATTTTCGCCACACAGAACACCCTCGGTCCACGCGATATGCCCGCACTCGTGTGCGAAGTTTTTCCTAAAATAACAGTGATGCGCTAAACGGAAACGCTGCATGTTAGATGATCACTCATTAAAATATGACTAATGACTAAATGTAATTTAGTATGCGCCAGACTCTCGCAAGAAACATACCAAACACCAATCTCGATTCGCCTTTGAGACCACGCAGGAAAAGACCAGATGCTGATATCGCAACTGCTTTCATAGGATCGGACGGGAAAGGACACTCGAACTATATATAACTGGTAAGATTCAAGAGTTTTATTTATATATTATCGCCCGAACACGCGGCCTATACCGAGTTGATAGCCTGTTGACAGTGGAGGCATTCAACTGTGTGTACGCTGTACGCTATACAAGTGAACGTGTTAGAAACTGCAGATTTAAATGCATCGCCGTAGATTACTGTCGATAGATATTAGAGAAGTCCTAGTCTACTTTAAGACCTTCTAAAAGTCAAAGATCTATACTACAGTCCTCGCATGTTCGTAATACCAAAAGAGGATTTCATTTAGTAATCAAAATACTATAATTTAATGCATTTATAATGATATGTTGTGTTGCCATGCGGCGTGACTGGCTTTGGTTGACATTTCATCTTATAGACTTTGAAATAGTGATCTTTGTCGATGTCCGGCGAATTCACACTGCATCTCACATAGACAGATAAAGCACGCTATTATTAGGCCACCTTTGTGTCATTAAACTACAATAAAAAGCTGTTCAGAGCGCCGTAAATTCTGGCAAATTTACCACGGTTTGGGCGCACGCGAGTCCAAATTTCAACTTTAAAAGAATATTATGTAGCAACATTAGGGTACGAGCGCGCATGCCTTAAATATTATCAAAACACATCTATATATTGAGACAAAACTATATATACACACGAATTGGTAGATTCGAGCACACCCTTTGGCCTTTGACTTTTATATTGTTGGGAGATTTGGGATGCTGTGTTTTGCCAAACCATCATTGTCACATTAATGATATTTACTTTGTAGTCAAATCATCAATATACAAGTGTACTCTCACCCAAATTAGACAGACCTATGAGAACTTGCATGGTATGTAAGAGACGTCCTTTTAAATAATACAAGTCTTCTAGAATAGACTATTTTAGGTTTTGTACTAGCTGGTATTGAATTTTTAAGAAGGTCAAAAAGGCACGATATACAATATTTTAATTGCAATTCATGATCACTATCACACCTTTGTCACATGCTGTAGACGCGAATCGCCAAATGTATATATAAATGCCTATTTCTGCATGCATGCATAGTATTTCCTGAAGCGATGATAAATATTGCTTCAATTAGGCACCACAAAGTCAGTTACAGCGCTGTAAGGTACTTGAAGAAAGTATGAAGAAAGGTATATATTAAATAACGCAAGATCAAAGGCACACATACTTCCTATATACCAACAGGGCAGAATCTTGTTCGTAAATAGCTCGACACGAGTTGCAACCCCGTGGTTGGTTGAGTGGGAAACTCAATGACTTCCGAAGGTCATTTTAAATCCCGAACCGGAGCTGTGCATTTCATTTGAATATATTTGGGTTCGCGTGATCGTTCAATTGATTTTCAAGCCTATAATAATTCTAACAGCGTTTCACCATCTCGGACATTTTTATGCTCGAATGGCGTAAAATCAGCGTAAAATCAGTCGAAGTTCGGTAGAAGGTCAATGTCGTGTCGCGGCAACATTTGTGCTGCATATTTTGCGACTTTTAGGCCGTACGTCTCCTGGTGCTCCAACATGGCAACAACATTTTGAAACATTCGTACAACTTTAGAGGTAAATCATCAAATAAATTCGTACCGGCCGGGAACCTGTAAATTTAAGCGAAATTGGAGCTCATATTTATAGTATAAATACAACAAAATGTTCCCAAGACGATTTTGAATAAAGAACTTTGGCTTTAGTTTTATCGAACGCGTGCATGCATGGTTATTTAAACGCACTATTTTCGCCCGACTTGCGATTCTGCTGTTTTTTTATTTTATGAGCTAAAATACCTCATTCCTTGAACTGTTTTAAGGAGCGTGTTTCTCAAGGTTTGTACAGAGTGATGTTTTATCAAATGAAGGCAAATAAAAATACTTCAGAGAGCGAACATGATCCGTGTTCTACAATTATGTAACGCTCAATCATGCATTGTCGGGGAATATATGGCATGTTTGACAATCCCCTCATTCTTTCGAAAGTGTGAATAACCGTGCTGATGACTGTTTCGAGATCGCGCCAATAATCTCGCCAAGTATGTTTTGAATTGTGTGTATATAACGCTGTAACCTTACGTGCCCCAAGTGGGTGGAAATGTACACCTATGTTATCGTCTCTTATCGCGTGTTTATGTCACTCAGCTTGGTAATAAGCTGGGTAGATTTTTGCTTGAGATTACTGCATGTAAACACTGAACATGTCAAATTTCGATATAAATTGAGACTGCCGTTAATCAACTATTTGAGAAATCTCTGTGAAAGAAAACAGTTTATTAAGAAATCGTATATATTACCAGAGAGGAACGTTCAAGCGATCTTTTCATGACCACACTGACTGTGTCTGAACAGAAAGATCAAATCGCGGCTTTTAGAAGCAGTATTCTCCCGGACCTTCACGGAAAATTAATAGTTTCACGAAAACTCGTTATGGAAGAGCTATTAAAAAAGGCGGGCATACTTTAAGAGAGGTGATTTTTCGAATTGTTCAAAAATGTCGGCGCTTGTTTGCAATCCTTATATATAGTTTTGCGTAATTTCCGTCATCCGTCTGACTTCAGGCAAAATGGCGCGGGCATCGTTACTTATCTTTCAAAGCACATGGTTTTGTTTACGATACGCGCGTAGAAAAGATGAAATGTAGCAATGTTTAAAAATAAAGTCGGCGAATGATATGAAATTTAGCTTTGACAAAGAACAGGTCTTGCATGGAATCGGAATTTGTAAAAATACCTACCGCTAAAAGTTTATTTGCGCCGCCATTTCGCGCGTGTTTTGCGATATTAAGAATCTTGAATCTAATCTAACTTAATATAGAGTGTATAGTGTTTTAAAATAACAATTGGTTTGTGTTGGTTACCGTTTTAAGCTGATATCATAACATATTACGTGTGTAATCGTAGAAGTGGATTATAATTGTTCCAGGCTAATTTATAAACCCAGCACAAATGTGAATGGTTTTGAATATTACATTTAACTATTACATTTAACTTTTTACCGCTAAAAACCGGTGTTATATATAACGACGTTATCCCCCGACTATCATCTTCTGACCAGGAAGAAATTCAATGCTTCTGGAGGAAAATTGAGACATTTCTTTAGTTTTAACCAATATCCCGCGAACATTAAATGCTTTTCCCTCTCAAGGGACCAAATTCTACAGTTTGAAAGTGATTTATAGCAGTTCCACGAAGACCAGATAGCGCGGTTATTATTTTATGATCCGGATAATGATTTTTTCAACTGTTGTAAAAAATTAATAGCTATGAAATGCCATTCGCAGCTCAGTGTCTGGTGACATCCGTGAACTTATCCAAAATAGGTCAATAGACACTTTCACCTAATTTGCTGCTCTAATCGATGGAAACTATGGCAAATGAATATAAACAACTGATATAGATTGTCTCGGTGTATTCTGGTTCTCAAGTTATTATAGTTTAGTTTGCACTGTGTATTTCTTTCTCTCATAGACAAATTGTGTTAAAACAGTGTTGGGTTCGACTGTTAGATCCTAGAAAAACGTCTGTATACCTATGTATATGATCACGCCATATATTATCGTTTTGTTTTTGTTTTCACAGAAAACATGGCATGTCTGTCAACAAAACAGGATGCAATATTTATCTTTGGAATCTGTTAAACTTTGTACAATCATAAATCATAATGAAATTTTACCTGCATGAATTTTCATAAATCGAATTCGTACAGTCAAATACGCGTCACTGCTAAACAGTGCTAAACTTAAATACGCCATTAGCCAAGCTGATTTTTGACATTAAATATTCTTTAAGGGGCTAAAACATGATTTTCTAATTTTTTTAACGTAAAGTGTTCGGTTTCAGAGTGTTGACGTTAAGCCGTAAGCACTTTAAACCAGCAATTTGGGGAAAAAACGCGGTACAGAAGGAATATTACTGTACTTTAGAGTGTAATTTCACTACATTACATGCAGAAAAACTGCGTAATTGTGGATCTGCAATGGTTGGGCAATAATGTGCTGTTTTACCTAAAGATATATTGCAAGTTTTTTGCGATGCTTGTCTGTAAGGCGGTTACTAAAAATCATAACGGTGCCAGCAAAATCAACCAGATTTTTCATCCGAGTCAATCAATTTCTCGCAAACAAGTTTTGCTGTCGAAGCAATCTCCTACCGAACTTCCATCAGTTCCATGGCTAATGGTTTTAAATTGTCCCGGTAAGCAATCTGTTTTCAAGATTTTACGGTTAGCGATACGGTTTCGTATTTCGTCTTGCTAAGCTTCGTGCGAACACAACTCGTTTGAGTATAAAGTAAGAATTCCTTTCTGTTGTACATACCGGCTTTGGGTAAACTGGATTCAAGAGTAGGAATTATATGCTGTTGCAATTTGTCGACACACCAAAACTCTGTCATCGAAATGACTCTTAGAAATTTGCGAAATGTGGTATTATATGAATCATGCAGAGATAAATCTGAAAGTTTTTAGATTACATCCTGACCTGGTGGGGTTATGTAAACCTTGTCGAGCATTGCTCTGTGGGGAAAGGCTGTAAAAAAGCTTAACATGCACGTTCTAGAATGGATAGCACTGTTTCCTCGACCCATTAAGTATGTTGCCATGCACACAAGCTGTAGGCTACCAAGTTCCTGGATATTTTGTAGAGGCGCGTAATGCAGCTGAGAGTTGCAAGATATTTGCTATAAAGTGGATAAAGAAAATGGCGGAAGTAATGCAGTTATCGACTATTATAGGCTCATCATATTGGTTATTGTTTGTGGCAACGCTCAACTAGCAGTAGTGCAAGTGACCAAGTAGCGATGAGAAAGGTTAAAAGTCAAACCGGGAGCATAAAGCAATAGAATGTATAAGGCTTTGAGAGGTCGGGCTTGCCGCTTGCATCAGTAGCAACACTGGATGCTGAAACTCAGACCACTTTGAATGATATATGCATGCATGAGACAGCGGTATGATATAATATGAGTTTTAATTTCTTGTTATTGATTCTTGAACAATCGGAACGCGTGTGCTTAAAGGCCAGGTGGTACGGAAGGGCAGTTCCTTAAGGAACAAAGTCGATAGCTTTCCGCAATTCTGTAATCTGGCAAAAGAAGGTCGTGCCTTCTTTGTACAGGAAATTACGGCAGTAATATTATTATACATTTACTATTAGTATGTCATAATCATTTGCAGATAATTTGAAAGATCGCATATTAAGATACGGGTGCCAATTAACTTGCACATGTTGGGTTCTCTCTGAACATTAGTGACCTTTAGCTTAACTATACTGCAACGGGTGATTTCAAATAAGTTTTTGGCACTCAATAGTCGCAATATAGTTACTTTTTTGTTTGAAAATGTTGCACAAATTTTTCCCGCCTTCAGAAACCTTAGATTTGTTTTAAAAATTCAAAATGAATTTTGCCTTTTGCAGTTATAGAGAGCTTATGTAAACGTTTGTTTTATTTTGGGAAACTTCTGGGATCTGAATTTAGCACGCTTTAGTCGCAACACATGCCATTAATTGTTGCAATCACAATGTTTTGCGATGCTCGCTTGATCGAACTTTCGATGCTTTTACCATATAAGGAAGAAATCTCACGGTTCGGTTGCAAGGCTCGTGCACCTGTAGCTAAAACCTTGGCAATGCTTGAAAATTCCAACGTGTAAATGAATCATTAGGCGCGTAATTACAGCCGTATTCGTATAAAAGTCCTTGTCTTTTATTTGGCAAAGAATTCCGTTATTTTCGTTAAGCTTCGCTGGAATGTCGTTCCATAAGAGTAAACAGTTCGATCCCATTCCGAGTGGCGTAATGTCTAATGAGGTACTTAAGTGCCCGCGACGATTCTAACCCAGCACGTGTGTTAATATTTGGGGAGGGGGAAAGAATTCGGTCCGATATTGGCGCTCGCATAGTGCAATAACATCCTGCCATAACAGTACAAATATACAGGCAACAAGACGTTACGTTTTGTAATGTTATTCAGTGGTTATATATTGAATTGAATATTAAACTTCGATATCAGAGTTCCATACACATGTGGTTCGGAGTTCATTAAACCATCAAGTAAGATCAGTTAATTATATACGATCAAGCGTACAGTCTACGACTACGGTCTAGCCGACTAAAGGATTGTTTAATCTTTCAAAGTCTGAGAGAAGCTGGTTAAATTCAAACCGTTTGTTTGAAAAGGTTGTTAAATTTTAATTGTTTTTACCGTCCAAAATGTGGTTGAGATGTCGAAGGTTTGAGTTTATGAACGAAATATTATTCAATTGAATTGGAAGGAAGTGTGGTCTAAAACAATTCACCATTGGTTACCTGTAATCGTAGACCTATATTGATAATTTGAAATTAATAGTCGTTTCCCCCTGACCATATTTAGAAGGCAAGGTTGTAGACATTGCGTATACAAGTACTTCAATTTTACCAAAACGTTGACAAATGGGATGTCGAATGTCACAAAATGAAAATTATGTTCTATCCACTTGGTTTCGCGATAAGGAAACATGTGAACGAATTTAAACCGTTCCTTATGTGTACGTGTGCAAAAAACGTGTTGCTAAACAGCGTGTAGATTTCAAACTATTAGGAGATAACTTGCGAAACAAATTCTACACACATGTATCTCACGGATGACATATAAGCTATATTTAAGCATTAGCCATGCACCGTGGCTTCAAATGCAACGCACATGATATTGAGGCATGCCTTCGACTTAAGTACCATGTCTGAACGTGAGTGCTTGCAGGTGGCGATAGGGTGACATCATGCCTAAATATAGTCAACTACGCCACAACGAAGTATGTTGTCTGTCATCGAAACTAAATATAATATGCAGTCGTCAGATCAGATGATTATTGATCTCGTGTGTCAGAATGTATTTTAGATAGCTCTGTTATTATCATACATCCAATGTTCCTCGTCTAGAGGAACTGTATTTATGCTTCAAAACGTTAACATTTCTTTCTTTCAAGAGAGCATTTAGCATCATATCAGTGAATTACAACAGGCCAAAATCTAAAATTATCTTAAACTAACTTTATTTAAACTTTATTGCATGGTTCTACGAAACTGCTTTTACTATAGAGAGGTACTGTGTGTCTTATTTTCATCTTAATGATGAGACGTTTTTCTACAGGAGCAGATTCGTAACTAACTGCAGATTAATAGCTTCTGACCAATTTTTATTTCATACTAAGCCGTCTCTCCAGACCTGTTTGCTAGCTTGCAAACAGATCTGAAGGGGTGTATACAACTTCATATATCACCAAGAGGGGATGTATACAAGTTCATATAACACTAATAATCAAGCCGATAATTTCATGTAATACGGTAAATATATCAATTAACTTAACAAATGCTTTGATGCTTGATATTACCTTTCTGTCATTTCTGTTCGAGCCGTTTTAACTTAGCCGTTTTAACTTAACAAATGCTTTGATGCTTGATATTACCTTTCTCTCATTTCTGTTCGAGCCGTTTTAACTTAGCCGTTTTAACTTAACAAATGCTTTGATGCTTGATATTACCTTTCTCTCATTTCTGTTCGAGCCGTTTTAACTTAGCCGTTTTAACTTAACAAATGCTTTGATGCTTGATATTACCTTTCTCTAATTTTTGTTCAAGCCGTTTTAACTTAGCCAACGACCGACGTAAAACGTGTAACTTCCTCTTCTTTCATGACAACCTCGGCACAGAAATTACATCACTACAGGCATGCCTAGACGTACAAATTCCAATCTGATGCGAACGGGCAGGAAAGTGAGTTAGCGTTCATAGCATCCAGTAGGTCTATAGATCTTTAATAACCCCCAGCTGACGTATGGATGCATGTTAATCGGATTGCCTGATTCACGCCTTGAAACTGTATTTGCTGAATTGTAAAATCGTTATCCCAATGCATTTGCGGCCCAATTATCACAAGTATATCAATCGACTGCACATTTGCATTAACGATAACTGCATGGTGATGTCAAATGTGCACTTTGGATGGATTTTACTCTTCAGAAACAGCCGACGTTGTTGAAATTTTCATTTGACCTTTAAGGGGATTTCTGAAATAACTGAAATTACTTCGGGCAGTTTCTCACAGGACGGGATCAGGAAATGAAATAAAATCACATTTGCGGTGTTTGTTTCCATGAAATTAGTAAACATACAATCCAAACCTACAATTCGAAAGTAGGAGAGTAAGTAAGTGAAAAATGCTCGAAATTTAACGAATAGCGGTGTTTTTTCAAGCTAATTCTACGGATTACAGAGTGCAGCTTTAAACCTTCGGCCTATTTATTACATGCGATTATAAAATCATTCAAATAAGTCAGAACGATGGTCTGCTTGTGGCCTGCAGGGAGATTTGATTGAGCAATAACTTATGGCCTTACTTTTCGCTTGTCAGTGTGATATCGCGTAATAAAAACCAATTGCCAGAGAAGGTGACAGGGTTAATTTCAAATTCTTTCATCAATTAAAATTTCTTTCAAATTATTTAGAATCATTTTCTCGTCGCTGGCTTCAAGACGACTTGATCTGCGTTGCTTTAACAGGAATTCTAAGGCTCTGGACTGAAAGTTACACGGCGACAACGCTATTTGGCTTCTTTATCAAAACAGTATTTTCAAGAAAGCCTTCGAACAACGACGTTTAATTCGTCAGCCGAAGGTTTCCTTTTTCTGTTAAAGAAGTTCAGGCTTTACAAGGAAACGCCAGCTAATTTGGCTGCTGTCTTTTAACTAGACGAGAACAAAAGACTCCTGTTAAGTAAATAAACACTTTTGTCTGGTATCAATTCTTCATCCAGTGTTTTTGTCGAGCGAGGATTGCAGAAAAGGCCCCTACACGTCTGTTTCTCATTGGATTAATATCGTGCGGAATTTTCGGTGGCATTTGGGATATATTTTCAGCGATTCTGTTGCTTCGCCCGTGTTGAAATCTGTCGCCTTTTTTCTGTACATCATCGGTACGAAAATTGGATAGATTGCGGCTCAAAAAACGACAAGTCGTCGAACAGAAGGAGATATTGCATATAAAATTCTTCGAAAGGAATTTGTGCCTTGTTGACAGAAATCGGAGTGTTATAAAAAAAAGGATACTGTGTGGATAATTATACTTGACTTGTTTCTGATCTAAATGGCTTCGGCGTTTGTCACGGTTGTTTTGCTGTCGATATTCGTTGTTTCAAGTCGTGGGACCCAAGTGCAATGGTCAATTTCATTGCCTGACAAATGTCTTGTGAATGATACGGTCTCTGGTACTTGTGTACGCTCCAGGACGGTCCAGTGTGTGAAGGCGCTTAGCGGTCAGCAGATCCCAGATTATTACTGCGAAGGCGTCTCGGTCAAGCCTTCGTCGTTTATCAAATGCGACAAATGTCCCGGACGTTGCGTCGTGAGCGTGTGGTCGTCCTGGGACGGATGTGATGTCGCGTGCTCACGAAAGTTCCGTTACCGAACGCGTAATATTCTTTGGCGTGATAACGATGCGGTCACGTGCCCACCGCTACTTGAAAAAAGCCCTTGCTCCCAGTGCGCGGGAAATTCCAACGAGTTTTACATGTGGATGGTTACGGACTGGGGAAATTGTCGCGCTTTTGCAACGGAACGGGTTTTCAAGCTCGGCGTCAACCAATCAGATGTCGCGCCAAGCGGAAGTAACGTGTGCGGATCGGTTATAAAAATCGGCAAGGCAACTCGGAAGGTGAAGTGCGTCGACACGAAAGGAGTTGAGCATAAAGTGCGCAATTGTTTGAATTCGAAAGATAAAGACGGCCGAATCACGCAACGTCCTGATCGGAGCAAGGTGTGCGAATTGCCATGTGATTGTCACGTGGCAGCGTGGGGTGAGTGGAGCGGTTGCCCAGACGACTGTAGCCGATCGGAAGAATCTCGAACGCGGGGAATATTGTTCCCGCCCCAAAATGGTGGAAAGGCATGTGGAGATTTGGTGGAGAAACGCAAGTGTAGTATAAAGTGTCAAAGTTACAAGTGGCACGTGTCTGAATGGGGGGCTTGTGGAAACCTTGGGTACGGTGAGCCTCGATGCAGAAACAGCTATCAAGAACGGGTCGTGTTTTGCATCAAATCGGACCCAGCAGTAAAAGCTAGTGATGTTCGACCTGTCGCGGACCATCTCTGTGATGTCGTCGCCAAACCTGCCGCTAGGCAGCCATGTCGGACCCCGTGTCCGCGTGACTGTTTGGTCAGCAGTTGGAATCCGTGGCAACCCTGTTCGATTTCCTGCGGGGGATTCGGAGTAAAGATGCGGGTACGGACTGTTCTGCAGACATCCCGAGACGGCGGGCTCGAATGCCCGAGTCTTGCGCAAATGTTACCCTGTGAAGTGACGCCCTGCGCGTCGTGGGTTTCCAAAAATTGGAGTCCTTGTCTTAGTACAAAAATGTGTGGCAAGGCTCAACAGCACCGACTTGTCTTCTGTAAAGGAGCAGATGGTACTTGGAAGGCTGATCGCTTTTGTGAACATGTTCGTAAACCTGTTCGAACTAGGAACTGTACCACACCCTGTCCCGAAGATTGCGCTTTAGGCGACTGGGGTTCCTGGGGGGCGTGTTCGAAACCGTGCGGCGCACAGGGGGGTGTGCAGTCTAGAAAACGCAGCATCCTGGCCTATCCCAGCTCGACACGGCTCGCGTGCCCGTCCGAGGATAAGCTGATGGAGACGCAACGTTGCAATGTCGGTAAGGTATGCGAACCCGAATCGATCTGCATGTGGAAGACGACCACGTGGAGTTCATGTGAAGCCCGTGTGAACGGTACCTGCGGAACTGACACGGGGGTACAAAAGCGCGAAGTGCTCTGTGGGAATGACATGAAAAACTTCACCAATGAAACACTCTGTGCTAAGATGTCCAAACCAGCTGCACTTAAGACTTGTGATGTCCGGTGTCCGAAAAATTGTGTACTCAGTAAATGGCAAGATTGGACGGAATGTAATTCTACATGCGGAATGCAAGGTGTGTTGGCAGTTTATGATTAATGCTTTTTGGCGAACAATTATTAAAATATTAGGACTACATAAGTAAAATCGCGCAAGCTGTATCCGGTTCAAATACAACAATGTTGTGCAGCACCTAACGTGTTGAAGCTGAACAAGTTGTTGCCAACTATGTTCCTGGGATGCAGCACAACATGGTTCTATTCTGTTTTCATCAACAGGGAAAAACCTGGGCGTTTTTAGTCCCGTAGTCGCTCTATCAGAAGCCGAGTCGACTTGAATAACAAACAGTATTTGAGTATTTGAATGTCACGCTCTTGTAAAGTGTAAAGTGTAAAGTGAAACTGTTCTCTTTTTTAAAGTTCATTTCTGAGACGTGAATTAAACATTAAACGCGTTTGTCCTGGTTTGGACGGATGGTAAACCATTTGATCATTGCTAAACTGTTTGTTGACACACAAATTTAGATATTTTTAATTTATCCTCAAGGTACTCAGACCAGCAGAAGATACGTTCTCCAATACTCTGAAAATAACGGGCTCGCTTGTCCAAATACGACTTCCAATAGCGTTGAAGTAAAAATCCGACCATGTTGGACTAAACAGCCTTGTTACAAATACACTTGGAGTGTGACCCCCTGGAAGAAATGCATGCTTCTACCCCAGTCGAAATTAACCCCGCCTACCTGCGGCGCGGGTTACCAGACAAGAAACGTATCGTGTCTGCGATCTGACGGAAAGCTCGCGGAAACATCGCATTGCTTGGAGTCGAGTATGAATATGCCTCCAAAGTAAGTGGATATTTTCCTTTCGTTCAGTGAAGAAACTATTGAAAGATTGCATGAATGTATTTGGACTCCGTGATTTAAATGTTTTGCCTTGAAATTCCGGCCATGAAAGTTTTTTAGTTCATGAAAGGTTTAAAGCCAGGTTTATGTCGTAATATTTCCTTATTTTAAGTTCCTCTTGTTTGGTCTTGAATCCTAGCTGTGGTCAGTTCCTAGCTGTGGTCTTGAAAATATTGTCTAGATAGAAATTTGTGGTCGGAACAACTAAATCGTCTCTCTTTTTAGGACTTTAAAGGAATGCTGGAAACCATGTGACAACCACTGCGTAAGAACAAGCTGGTCAGACTGGTCTTCATGCCCGAACAGATGTACTCAGAGCGCTCTGACCCGAAGGAGGACACGTCAAGTTGTAAACCTCAGCCCTGCCCGTGGTGGCTTTGGTGCTACGTGCCCAAAACTCACTGCTTTGGATTTCACGGAAACTAAGGATTGTCCTAAAATGCCGTGCAAAAGGTACGATGAAAATGTGTCGGCAGGGAACAGGTGGTGTTGCCAGGAAATTTATAATATATCTTTGCATGTCTGCCTATCCGTTAGAACATTCATGGCGAGACAACGTTCAAATGCTTCTTATTACATTTACAAACATTCAGTGCTTTTCAAGTGTGATTTAAACTTGTGGGAGGAAAGTTTTGAACCGAGAAAGCTATCAAGTATAAATATATAAGGTGGTTCAATCAAGATTCCTCTTGCATGATGATCCACGCTGGACATGTACTGTAGAAAGAAGAATTTAGAACAGATAGGAGTTATCCAGTAAAAATGAAGTCAGTTTATATTTGAACTTCCTTTATTAGTTACATTCTGTCTGATCAATAAGAGATGTTCCTTACTTTATGGAAAAACAGTTAGACGTGATGCAAGGTTAACTAGTTTTCATGAAGTTAGTTTAATTTGCCTTTTAGAGATTATTAGTGATTAGATTTAGCCTTTTCATTATAGAAAAGATTGGTTAAGTGCAGGTATGCTTTTTACTTTTTACACTCTAGTAAGAAAAGTTTAGGAGTGCACTCAAAGCTATTCGTAGATCGAAAATTTTAATTTTCACACTACATATTTCTGTAGCTACAAATGGTATACCGCACCGTTTACCAGTTGTATTCCGAAAGACACTGTGGCGAACTGTGGACGAGCCATTAGGGAGCGACGCGTCTTGTGTCTTGACCAATCAGATCGTAGCATTGTCGCCGAATCATTTTGCGACCAATCAAAGAAGCCGAACTCTCAGGAGGACTGCTTCGTACAGTGCGCTCAAGACTGTGTGGTTGCCTCCTGGGGTAAATGGGATCGGGCGTGTTCGAATACCTGTGGAGACACCCTTCGAACGCGCCAAAGAACCGTACTGAAACAGCCTTTGGGGCTTGGAAGAGCGTGTCCATCGCTTATAGACAAACAGCTATGTCGTGAACTGGAATGCACTTCGTTTACGTGGTCGGTTGGCATTTGGAGTACTTGCAAACTTGCGAGGAATGGTAGTTCTTGTGGTAATGGTACCCGTAGCCGACAAATTGTCTGTCAACCAGATCCGGCTCGCGAGTGGATTTGCAAGAAGCAGGCGCCGAAGCCAGCCCAGACCGAAAATTGCACCCTCGCATGTCCAGGTAATTCACTTTTCAGCCATATAAGGCTACACGCGTAAATATATCACATCTTGTAATAAGTCTTCAAACAAGCTGTCAGCAAGTTGTGTTCGGACTGCATGCTTCACCCAATCTTCCGGGCTGACAAGTATGGGACAACTTGTAAACAAGTTGTAACAAACTTGTTGAAGCAAAAGACTTGTTTTACAAGGCTGTTCTAATAATTTTGCTACAAACATGAACTAACAATATATCGCTACAATCTTATCTTGACACGCTTGTGGCAACGTTGTTACATCATAGCCGCATCAGACATGTCAGAAGAATCAGACCTGCAACAAACCTTGTTCGAAGCTTGTGAATAAACTTTAACAGTACAGTTTGTTTGCAAACTTTTGTTTCTGCGTTTGTATGCGCACACAAGCGTCGTTTTCGAGCGTTTCAAAATCGTTTTTGTGTGTCATTTTGGTTTGATTTCTTTTTTTTCTGCTTATCAATAACATTTCTTTTTTTTCTGCTTATCAATAACAGTACCATCTATAACGAAATTCAATCCATGTTCACTGTTTTCTGCTTTTGTGATAAACGAAACCTCGCAACAACTTTTCAATTTCTCTCACTCCAGGCGAATGCGTTATGGGTGACTGGGGTGATTGGAGTGATTGTGTACAAGGCATGGATAGATGTTTCGCCCAGAGATGGCGAACGAGGTTGAGGCAAGGGGATCGCGCTAACCCGAAGAAATGTGGAGATCATGAAGCTGAGTCTAAGAATTGCAGTTGCCCGGGGGGAGGAAGCATTGTTACCAGTGATTGGTCGACGTGCATATTGAATGAAAAACGTGGAGTTAATTGTGGAAAAGGTAAGCGCTCATGATTTTAAGCCTTACATTGGTAAACAGGGGCAAGTTGTTCAGGTTTAGCGATAACCTAGCTTTGAACAACCTGCCCCAGGGGGATAAGAGGTGTGGGTCTTCTCACAACTTCGACAAAGTTATTTTTGACCGAGTTTTGTCTCCTGTTGAATGTTTTTATTCTACCTTCTAAACCAGGTATTCAGTACAGATCGGTGAAATGCGAGGGTGAAAACGGAACAATAATTGACAAGAAAAATTGCCCGTACTTCGACACGACGCCTCGTTCACGTCGATGCTCAATACCGTGCCCCGTTGATTGCGTCATGGGAGCCTGGGGAGAATGGTTACGCTGTACAAATTTTTGCGCCCTCGATGCTAAAATGCAACGATCAAGAAACGTTTTGCTGGTTGAACAGAATGGTGGGAGAAAGTGCCCGAACATGACACAGTCCCGGCCGTGTAACGTGGCCCCCTGTTACACATACAGCCTGTCCCTTGGGATGTGGTCCAAGTGTTATGTTGATGGTCAGGGTTGTGGACAGGGTAGTCAGACCAGAGAAACGACCTGTCGTAGGAATGACGGTGAAATTGTTGCCCTACATTTTTGTTTCCATGAGTTTAAAACGTAAGTGCTATTTTGAAGTAATATTTCAGTAATAACTATTAAAATAGCCACACCTATTAGCCCTTTTACGGTGTGCCACCAGGACACCATCTGTTATCTTACCATCTGTCAGATCATTTGGAAGACTCTAAAAAGTCAACAAGTTTGCATTTGCCAAAAATTTATAAGAACGTACAATGAATGGCCTTCGTCATTTTATCTGACGAAAGCCTTCAAGACGAAACATCCAGAATTTTTAGAAAGTCGCTCTAAACCAAATTTGATGTCGAAATTTTGAGGAATGCGATACACTGCAATGTCCTTCGGTTTTCTAGGAGCATCTATCTATGAAAGTGTACATCACATTGAAGTTATCAGGGATCTCTGCTATGTATTTTTAAGAATGTCTTTGTAATGTTTTTTTAATCCACTGTATTTTTTCACCAAGGTCGTCGGATGATACAACGAAACTTCAGGTACTCCGTGACACCATAAACAACGGCTCGCAACTATCGTTGACGTCAACACGTATCTGTGATGTGGTTTGTCCCGGTGACTGCTTTATGTCACAATGGAGTGACTGGAGCAAGTGTGGAAAAAGCTGTTTTGGGAATTTAACAGGAGGTAAATTGAGAATCGGGGACCACTTAGTAGATGAATAGGAAGTTCGCAATTTTGTATATAAATTAGCCGAAATCTCGCTAAGTTATAGCGATACTTTATTTACTCTGGAAATAATATATAAAGCTAATTGAAATGGGTTGTTCTGGGTTTCAAAGCATGTTAGAGTTTGTGAACAGGCGTTTAGATGTGCATTCTGTTTTTTTACTTCAACTACAGCTCACCAGACAAGAACTCGTGTAGTCATCTTATCGGCAGACGCCGGTGGTAAAGCGTGTTCCTCCGACCTCGTCCAAACACGGGCATGTCAGCCTGTTGCCACGGCAACGGCTTGTGTTGGCGCACAGTGGAGAACTGGTGCCTGGCAAGGGAATGAAACAAGAGCTGTCTGGTGTGAGACCTCAAGTGGCTTGATGGTTACTGGAGCGTGCGCGGAACAGAATAAACCTTCTGAAACAAAATTCTGCAGTCCAAAATGCTCAGGTAGCTATAGCTTAGTCAATATCTAATGCAAACGCGTTTAAAACAAAGCTGTCTGCAATTCGGATAGAATAGAGAGGCGATTTTTTGAAATAGAGTTGAAAAATTAAAGTAGCAAGCTCCATGCAAGTTTAAGGGTAAAAGAATGATGTTTAATTTAAGTAAAATTTAAACTTTAGGCATATGCGAATAGTATGTTTGCGAATCCTGTTGTGTTTCTCCAATGATATAAAGGCAAACCCTGGCTTGATATGATGTTCCTACTGACCACAATATAGCTTGTTCATTGCACACATTCTCAAAATATCGGGAAACTCGAATAACATCCACTAATATTGTTGTTGTGAGAATTATTGTTTTGTAATGTTGACTTCTAGTTTTGTGGGTTCAATTCATTCTGCTTTTCGTTTCAAACTCGATCTCCACCCTAATATGTACCCTCTCTTCGTTTTAGATCCAAATTCGTTGTGCCAGGAAGGCAGATGTGTATGTAAACCCTACTACGAACTCTTCCAGAGCCAATGCATTCCGACGCAAGGCTGTTTGCGCGATGGCCATTGTATTAAAGAACACACCGTTTGTAAAAACGAGAAGTGCAGATGCAAAACTAGCTATGGTTGGAACGCGACGTCTCAGTCTTGTAAACCAGTGCAGGGAATGTCGACAGAAGAGTCTACTACGGTTGCAGTTCGAACAACCACATTGCAGGAAATCTCGACAAAGAGTGCAACCAGTGATGTTGACACGACGAAGAAACTGGAGCCTACAAAGATTATTAGTACCAAACAAATTGAGAAAAAAACTACTACTACCAAACAGATTGAGAAAAAAACTACTACTACCAAACAAATTGAGAAAAAAACTACTACTACCAAACAAATTGAGAAAAAAACTACTGCTTCCTCTGAAGAGAAGATTGGTGGAGGTAGCAAGACGACTGATGGCAAAATGACTGATGAGAAGAAGAGGATCTCGACAACGAAGAATCCGCACAAAAACAAAGAAGCATTGAATAAGGATAAAGAAACTATTTCACCAGGTGGGACAACTTTGGAAGAAATCTTGTATTTGTTCTCCAGCTATTATCTAAGTTGGATTTGCAACTAATTTTTGGAGTCGTATGTAATGTAAATATATTTTCGGAGATGGGAATTGTGGTTGTACCACTGTGGTCTATTGACGCGCACGAAGCTATAAACTGACTTTTTCTTTTAGAATTCTGGAAATGGATTGGAATTGGTATTGGTGCTCTGGTATTTTTCCTTGTTCTGGCCATTGGGTTTTACTGCTATTCGAGGTTAGTGTAGTACAAACATGGTCACATCATCACCTTTCAGTTAGATTTTTTTTTAACTGAATGAATGTACTCATGTCGTTTATTATGTTTGAGATTACATTTTTTAATGAAATTGACATACGCTTATGATATTTATATACTGTTTGCACAGATGTAAAAACCTGATACTTTGGTGGTCAAATTAGCTACTCTAACTTTATTTCACATTTATAGAAGGCAAAGAAAAGCCAAACATAAGATGATGAAGTTAAAACGAAACACAATTGAGCTCGTTGGAGTGCTAACTTACGAAGACGGGGAGAATAACAAGCCCAGAAAAGTGTGAAATTCAACACATTTGATGGGAGTAACTATTGATAACAGTGGTTATGACTACAATAGAAATAAATGAACAGAAATGGTGGATGGCAGTACTTGGATAGCAGACGATGATGATCATTGACTGCGATGGACATATGGGTTCATTTGTGATTGATAATAATGGATAATATAGGAAAATTGAGGATAGAATAAGATTGGAGAATCTCAACGTTGTACACGAGCTTCTTACCTTTCATATATAATTCTACTATTTAGAATTTTCAAATTAATAATGTAAATACTCTGAAAAATGATAGATACAGCGTGTTCTAAACAGTTGTGGCCAAACAACCATGATTTGAATTCCCTATAATTCATCGATAAAGATGACAAAATTGAGGACGTTTTGTCTTTCAATCAATAGGCGTCATTCTTGAAGGAGTATTTCAAAAATATTAAGACTTTATGTCAAATTATTTCAAAAATACTATGACTTTGTGGTTGTTTGGCCAAGAGTGAATTCAAAACAAAAGATAATAATAATGAAGTATATTTTACGTAAGATTTGTGAGCAGGATTCAATAAAGTATTTGTGTATTTATAAATGTTTGTATCGAGTTTTTCAATGCGGAAATAAACCAATTAACCAATAGTATCTTATTGACTTTTTGTATTCGTATTAGTCATTTGGGCCGTCTTGAAAGGATGACAATTTTAACAGCATGGCCAGTTGTAAATTTAGTCAATAAGGACGAAAATTGGCTAGTCAGAAGTCAGAATGTGAAAAAAAACATTCAAATTTGCATTCTATAAACTTTTCAAAGTAAAAATGGCAAATACAACCATGGTCATGACCATGGTCAGGTCATGACCATGGTCATATTCGCCGGAAAATGGCAAATACGACCAGGGTCATACTCGCAGGAAAATTGGAAATACGACCATAGTCATATTCGCCGGAAAATGGCATATATACGACCATGGTCATATATTCGCCGGAAAATGGCAAATATACGACCATGGTCATATATTCGCCGGAAAATGGCAAATATATGACCAGGGTCATATTCGCAGGAAAATGGCAAATACGACCATGGTCATATATTCGCCGGAAAATGGCAAATATACGACCATGGTCATATATTCGCCCGAAAATGGCAAATATACGACCATGGTCATATTCGCCGGAAAATGGCAAATACGACAATGGTCATATTCGCCGGACACATAATAACTTAGTTTTGTCCTGCTATCACGTGTACTGGTCTAAGTACATACACTGAACCACCACAATTTATATAATTTATTAATAAACATTTATTCAATCTTGCAGGCCAGGCCACCTCTTACATTTATTTATTTCTCAGTTACATCTTCAAGAGTTAAATATTTCATTGATAAGCTCAATCACAAAGGATGGTTTAGAAGCCAAAAACCATGTTTATCACGAGCTAAACTTCATATTTTGCAATACCTAGGTCTCTTATTAGAATTAAGTTTAGTTTATGATTATAGGCATGACATTCCAAACAGTTAACTAGACCTAAGTCAAAACACAGTTGCACAAAAACAATGCAATTAATATCAGCAACAAGATTTTCATAAATGTTCTCATTCACAGAACTGCAATTTTCAAAAAAGGCATCTATATTTCAACATTCTACAAAAATGTTTATCATTATGAAGATTTTTTTTCCCAGGGGTAGTTGTGGAAATATGGGACACGAGGGTCCGGCTGTGATTGTCGATAGTCGGCCATCTCTATCTCCAGGTCAGCATAAGTGTCCTTGCTGTGCGAGTAGTACTCTGGCACTTGGTAGGAGGCTTGGGTTTGAGGTGATTCTTGTTTAGCTGTTTTGTCTAAACCACAATATGAATATAAAAAGCAATTTAAGGGGGTTTCTGTGAGCCATTATACTGAAGTGGAACTTATGATATTTGGATGGCTTGCATGCTACTGGGCTAATAATGGTGAGTAAAATTGTATGTCAATTTATATGTCATGGTTAGAATGTCTGGTTTATTAAAGTATTAGTTCTATCATATATTTAATATTTGTATTGTAAAGGAGATTTCACGTACTGGAAACTTTTTGCCCAGATTCAGAGCTCTTATCTGCTATATATCTTCCTTGCACGACTCGAACACTTTTGAAAAACTACAAAGCGCAGAAAACAAATATTTTATATATAAACATGAATATGTACAAAAACAAGATACAATGCCCAGGGAATAATTTAGAACTTTTCCTACGCAAAAATTGCGTCCAAGTACAGGCAAATACGTTGGTAATTATATATGTAAACGTGCGTATTTAACCTGAGAAGTAAAAATCCTTGTTTTCAAGCCAATTCTTCCAACACCTATGATGGCGGCCATGTTGTTTTGGAAAAAATGTAAATTTTTTGTATTTTCACCCCCCGGTAAAATACTTCGGGAGAGCTTAACCAGTGACTAGATGCATCCAAATGCGGGGGGAACCAAGAGAAAAATATAAACTATGGCGGCATAATTTGTATTTGGGACAAATAGAAACGGGATGTTCTATATGAAAGATATTGAGTAGCGATGAGTTTTTTTCGTTGAGATTTTTAAGATATGGTTGGCCCCTATGGTGCTATAACTTGGTGGGGATTTAGTCCAGCTTTAGACCTTCAAAATGAATGTACGAGACGGCTATTTTTAATATTTTCTGTTGATTTTTATTATAAGTTGTACAGCTCGTATTTTTTTCAAATGAAATTGATGTAATGGGCTTCTTTATATTAATTTCATATGAAGGACTGTGGGCTGCAACTATTGTTAATTTTATTTAGATAAAAGGCTGGATGTTAGTGCCCGTTCAAAAGGTATATCCAAATAAATTTCCAGTTGTGATAACCGTGCTGTACTGCTGTCAATGCATGTAAAATATTTGTACTGGTACATATTGTGTTTCCAATATCCATGCAAATTTTGAAATAACATGGTCAATGCTGGTGCTACTTAGTGAAGGGAGCTCTAATTTAATCTACCAGAAAATTATATATTTAATATTAGATAGAAATAGCAAAGGTTGTACAGTTTATATGCATATCAGTGGATTTTACTAATAATTATTAATTAGTATTGCCTGCAAGCCTTCTCATTATCTGGGCTTATTGACCTGAATAGTGAATAATAACATTTTTGTAAACCAAATGTATAATGTTGAGAATCATATAGATAAAAAAATGTATAAAGACCATGTGGAATATAGAATATAAAATTAATTTTAAAACATGGGCAAGGAATTTTTGCCTGTTTCAATATTGGTACATTAGCAGTAAGGTTACCAGAAAAAATGGATAGTTTACTATAAGTTAATATTTGACTATTTTGCATGGTATATGTAGAACCAATTAATATTCTCTTGGTTGGCTGTGGAGACTGCAGACATCTGCTGAAAACTCTAGCAAAAACATACAAATGGGAAAAAACTCAACTAAATGTAAGATGAATTCAATCACATAGTTCCTTCCAAGGGATTTTTAGATCCCAAGTGGACTAGTGCTTTGACAATATTTCAGTCCATGCCCTTTCATTACATCACAGATGTCGTGAGATAAGCTACGTCAGTGATACAGCTTATCTGTGATTACATGTAGGAATGGCTCACTCATGAGACCCCGATTGATTACCCTAGTAACTACTTATTTTACTCTCTGCCCTCTCAACACTAGCTAGTTGTCCTTTTTTGAAAATAGAGTGCCCATCTTATATGGTGCCATTGCCCTTAGGTGAATATTTCAGATTTTGTTGCACCAACTGATTTAGGTTGATTTGATCTTAACAAACCATTGTTAGGTTTATGTTGTGGAAAATAATCTCGAGTTATTTGCCAGACACCTCCTGCTTCTTGGTATTGCATTGGAATCAAAGGAGAAACTAGGTTTGCAAGGTATTGTCCAGGATAGATTTTTATTAGCATTTTTTTTTATAGCTTAGCATCAAATGCGGTATAACAACTGCCTAAACAGACAAAACACTTCTCGACGTTTCGACCTGAGGGCCTTCGTCAGGAGAATTGGTCAGTCCACTCTCCTGACGAAGGCCCTCAGGTCGAAACGTCAAGAAGTGTTTTGTCTATTTAGGCAGTTGTTATACCACATTTCATGCTAAGCTGTTTGAAGACGCTACTCCTTGGTTATATTTGTTTTTTATATACTTGTAATATTGATACTGTAACATGCCAGTAATCATTGATAAATTTTTAGAAAAATGTGAACTTTTCTTGGAATTGTTGGGCAACAGCTTGATTCGACCTCAGACATGCGATTATTTGAAAGAAAAGGCCAATGAATATATACGGTAAATTAAAATTTGTCTGCCTTACCTCCATTAAATTTGACATCCGTTATAGTCAGAGCTGATCAGTTGATCTTCTAAAATCCAGAGACTTTGACTTTGTGTGATTTTTCGAGACATTTCGTTGTATTTTCTGCTGTCATCTCTTGAGCAAACTATGGCATGTGTTTTGAGTCATTTTCGCGACAAGTAGATTTTTATTTGATGCTATTTCAGGATGGTAACAGACTTGGATTATATGGAGAGGAACTTTCCTTTGATTGATATGTCATTGTTGAAGGTTGGGAAATGGAATTGCTTGATAGAAATATTTGAATATTTCATAATAGGTACAGATAAAGGTAACGCCACGCACCGTTGAAAGACCATGATATACCGTTGCTTCATTTTCTCTCTTTCTTGTGCAGTTCAAAGAGCGAGACCTGCTCGAAGGGATATTCAAATTTTGGCGGAACACGAATGGAAAATTGTTCGACATCGCTAAATGTTGGTAAGATTGTTTTGACATGTTTATTTTATTCCATTAAATCGCCTTCGGCTTGTGTTTCGCGCGCTTTTCTTAACTCTCGCAATATTCCCGCGTGTTTGGATCAGGCCACCCAGATTCCCCAGGCGGGCGCTTTCCTTTATACGGTAAAAACGGTCAGACCGGTCCTGTTGTATTTCAGTACAGACAGATTAGAGTGTTTTAAGAAATATGCATTCAGATTTAATGTTATTTACATCTGATTAGCAGGGAAAACGCAGTCTCACCGCTATATTTTTAATGAAATATTCTATTTCAATTCAAAATACGACCGGTCTGACCATTTTGGCCGGTTAATGGAGAGCGCGCTTAGACTTGGTCTGGTTTTCTTATGTCGTAACTCATGGGCGATGGTACGAGGTTGGGGCGATGGCTATATTGTCGGTGGTCAGTGATGCATAAAATCTTGTGTGTATCGAAGAAAGTTATATACTTCATTGGTGACATTGGCGATCGCTTTCAAACTTATGTTACAGCTATAGTTTGTATAAGTAAACATAATAACAAAATTTCGAAATTCATATATAAGAATGACAGAAGATATTATCGATAAAATTCTAAAGCATGGATTTTTATTTCGATAACCATTCCGAGCGCTGATTGGCTGAGCGCTGATTGGCACATCACGTGGGTTCTTTAGTATTTCGTCACATTAATTTTCACTCAATTTTCTATGCAGGGACTTGAGGCTGAGAAATTATCTCGAGGTGAGATACGATCACCGAAATAACATTTATGACTGGGACTACAATATGACTTTGCATAAAAAGGTATGTTTATTGTTTATTTCAAATAGCAAGATTTAGAAAAACTCTTGTATAACATGTCATGTATGTACTAGGCACAAATCTCATCTATATCAACTGTTCCTCGTCTTCCAGGCCGATATCATTCGTTTCCAAGAATACAAGGTGTGGCGGGATCAGGGCGTGGCATTTGAGCTTCGCGAGGATGCTTCATACGAAGTCACCAATCGTAGTTTAGCATCTGGTCTCGTTGTCACCAAGGTAAGGCGATGTGGTCATGTGCTTGAATAGGTATTGCTCGCATTGTAAACTGCCCCCAAAATAGTACTTCTTTGGACAATTGAACAATTTACGTCAGAGCTGCTCTTTTAAGAAATTTTTTCGCCTCTTGTGAGTTCTGCGGTCTCTGACCGATATATCTACTGGATGTTTCAGGGTTCAGAAAAGTATGGCAGTCGTGGTTTCTGGGGCGACATTATCAACAGTCCGTACTTGGCTTTTGGTATTGAATGCGATGATAAGTCTTTGTTTGAGAAGAAAAACGATGTTTATATTAAGGTCCGATGGTCGTTAATTAATTAGTGTTGATTAGTTGTAATTAGTGGTAATTAATTAGTCTTTACTACAGGCAAATAGCATAAGTTAGAATCGATTAAGTTCAATTAGAGTTGCGTTGATTAAGTAATTAGAAATTAAGGTTTTCATTTTATAAATTAATGTTGATTAGTTAGTTAGCTGTGATTAGTTAGTAATTGCGTTTAATTTCACGTAGAGCGCTCGAGACATTTCAGTTCATAACGTGACGTCTTTCATGCACGAGTTGATGTATAAAGAGAAATACGAACCTGTCAAAGAGAGAGCGGCGAGAGGTAAAAAGGAACATCCAAGGATACAAGAGGTAATCGAGGAAGTTGAGGAACTTCAGGTGGCAGAGGAGGATAATGTAAAAGCGCAAGGTAAGCAACTTGAAATGATAAATTTGGTAATTTCTCCATTGTGATGTTTAATTTATTGCTACTGGTGGATATTTCCGTAGAAGAAGCCTGTATTCAAACCGAGGGGGTGAAAGTCCATTTCCTTCCCCTGAACTGTGTTCCTGATTTACAAAAAAAGAGCAAGTACAAGCAACTGTTTGATTTGGTTTATTTTTCTAACAGGTTGGTAACTTCATTGATAATATTTAATGCCTAATTACTTCAGGAAACAGTCCTTCCATTATAAATATAAAATATTTTTTCTACAAAATCTTTTGTGCTTCAGTATGGTTCATTTCCTGACACCGGAACTCAAAGCTCTCTTCTCCCAAGAAGCCATGTTGATTATCGAAACAACAAAGTGAGTGTCATTTGTATTTACTTGATTATGCTATCTTGCATTGATCCGTGCGTAAATGACTACGAAAAGTTTGAGATCAGGAATATTTCTTTTGTTTATTGAAATATCTAAGCCCCACCCTGCGGTCCCACTCCACAGCGGTCACGTGGATGCACCCTCCCCCCACCTACATTACGTCCACCCTCCAATCACCCATTACACTTCTCTATACCCTCCATCTCTCCGTCCACAAAACCTCCTATCGTCCCTACTCAATGCAATAACATGCCACCAACACCCCTCCTACAATGTACCCCACTCACCCCACATTATGCTTCCGCCTTGCCTCTCCAAATGCTCAATATCTCTTACCAACACCAATCTCTAGATTCATGCTGGACTTGAAAGAAGATCAAAGCAAAGAGTATTTTGGTAAAATCTCTGCTATGGCACAACGGGCCGGCTTTCAAGTGAGTATTTAACTGAGTGAAGAAAAACAGCAGCAGTACACATTCCGTTTTGCCGCCAAAACTTGGATTTTTAAAAAGGATATATTTATGTATATTTTTGCTCGGTCATTCCTAATACAAAAAATGTTCGACCATAGTCTACTCAGACGAGATGCTTGGATATTTACATTTATAACGATATCGGAGTCAAAACATACAAAACAGTTTCCTAAACCTTTTGATCATTCATCCACTACTTTTCTCTTCGAATTTTAGCCCCTCGGTTCATGCGATGCTGTCAAAGACGCGTTTGCCTACTTCAAGTTCACAGGATAGTATGAACACATGTTATTGGCAAGCTGTAAAAACCTCGTCTTTGCTCGATTATGTTCAGCTTAGAAATGTGGTCGGTTTATAACCTAATACCTAAGAGCCTTCATGTCGTCTAATAAACCCCCCAGATGAAACAAACGCCTCAATTTCCACAAATATCTTACTTGTATTAAAATGCGATGATTTTGCCGTTTTAGCTTTTTGTAAAGTAGCAACGTTTGTAGTATATATTTTGAATTGAGAGAGTTTAGGTGTGATATCGTATATATGTTGCTTCGCCATTGGTAACTCGAAGTGTTAAACATCATTATGCGCATGCGCGAATCAAATTTGTAAAATGTTTGTGCAGCAAAATATTCGTTAATAAATATTCATGAATTTCATGGAAACTTTCCCTCAACACGAAATACTTTAAACTATATGGATATTATATGAAATTCGTGTCTCCAACCGCAGCGTACTCCACTCAAGTCTCATCACTGACTAGTCACTTGTTCTCTTTCGCGCGCTTTGCATTTTTGTGACGTCACCGGTTAGGGGGGCTTCCTTGCTGTATAATTACCAGTGCGCGCTTACAAGGCCTAGAACTGGGCTACCCTGAGATGGCTCATAAAAGTTTCCTTTGTAAAGAAGTTTTTTAGAGAAATTGTTTTATGCAAGTTGATATAACTTAAGTTTTTAGCGCATATTACGCGAAATAGAAGTATATCTCTTAAACATGGTATATTTCAAGCTGTTGCGGAAACCCTTCCAATTATAATTACCCTTCGAATTTATAATTTCGCGCGCTCCAACGAGCGCTAAATAATGTGATTAATGACGTCATCAACTAATTAACTGCAATTTGCTACATTGTTGATTCGTAGTCATTCGTCAGTGAATAGTCGAAATGAAAACGTGAATGTAAAAATTGAAAAAAAAATGTCGGAAAATTTGTTGAGGAAACCGCATTCCATGGGCAGCCTTTTGCCGCCAAATTACACGAGTGATGAGGGGATGTTTGATCTGAACATGCCACGAATACGTCCCGCGTGGTTGATGAACGAGAGCATTAGAAGTTTAGACAGTAAATTTCCAATGGTACCTGCGCCCACTGGTTCCATCATTTTCTACACGACACCGCTTGCCGAAAAGGTATTTGAAGATTGTAGCATGCCAATAAATATAGAGTTTGGATATTGAAACTTGACTTTATTTACCAGCGACTACGCTTAAAATTAAATTTCTTACCTATTTCGTTCTTACCTGATGTTTGGCAAAACGTTTTCCAACAGCACTTTCTTTGTGATTTGTTCTTACAAAAAAAATTCAGCCACGGCTAGGAATAGGTAAATTTCCTTTGTCTCTGAGAAAGTACTTTGAATGTAAAAATTGAACCGTACTCCGTACCCAGGTTCGTTATTTATGGTGCTGTTAACATGAGCCCGGTTACCCAAGATTTAAGAAAGTGTGAGATGGTTTTGAGGTATTGAAATGAGTCGAACAAACACATGCTATTGTTTGGATGATTACACGACTGCCAGGATCATTTTATTTACTCATTTCAATACCTCAAAGTCATTTTAAGTCTCGCGTAATCGGGCTCATGTGAACAGTCACATGAAACTTACTGTTACTACTGAAGTCAGTTCAGAGTGATTGTGCGTATCATTATCGTTGCGATTGTCATTACGCGTATCACGATCTACGTCGCCCGCCGTCAACTTAACACCGCTGCCACAAATCTTGCAATCGTCATCCCATACTTTTAGCTTTGTCAACAGTCGAAGAACAGAGAGTTTGATTTGACTGATCCTCTCAGACCAAGTCTCTCTTACAACTGTCTTCACGACGAGCATCTGCAGGTGTATTTCAAGTCAAACGACATCAGAAAGAGATTATTGGACGATGGTAAGTGAACGCGGTCGTATCGATTGCTTTTCAGAAAAAGAACCCCGAGGACTCCAGAAATGTTTGATTTTTCAATGCTGATAACATTTTTTCGCAGAACTTTTCTTCCAGACTCAACGAGTGGCCATTCCTCACACCTTGTATTATATCGTAACCGACTCAATTCGTAATTATTAATTAACTATATTATTTCTCGATCGACATGCCGACTGAAACTTGCAAGTTTTCAACTGTAAATTGTGTGCCAAGCTTAATAGACCTTCCCCCTTTTAGCTTTCAAGCGCGCAATGCGTGACGGTAGTTGATTATCAAGCAACTTTGGGTTGTGATATCGCTCTGCTTAGAAGCGATTTTGTTTTTAAGAAAACCTTGCCGATTCTTCGCTTGACGATATAAGAGAATAGACTTGAAAAAAAATTATTAAAAAATAGGCTAAGACGGGACAAAAATATGAATATCCACTCCCTCCTCAACAAAGCTTCCAGCAACCGCCCTGTGCGAGATGAATTAAACGTGTTGTTCTTTCTCGCAAGGTTTCATCACCAACGATGGTTACGTGAAATGCTCTTTGAAGGAATTTAATGAATACAGGCAGTGGATCAGGAAGTTGAAACTGGATGAACTTCATCAAGCGAGAAGACAGGATGAGAAACAGATCGAAGATGCCAAAAAGGAAAGGCTGGAAAGAATCGCCATGGAAAGAGATCCCGAGCTCTTGGAAATCATGAAAAGGAGGTGGGATTCGGATTGGAATACAAGACGGTCGCAGGCACTAGAGGTAGTTAACTTTTAGTGGTAGTTTAACTTTATGCTTCATTTTTCTTTAGACGTGAGAAGAGGCGAGAGCAGGCGAAGATCCATCATCAACACATCAAGAAGGAACAGGAACGGGTCAGAAAGTTGGAGGAGATTGACCGTCAGCGGCGGGAGAAGTTTCTGGATATGAGAATGAAAAATCGTGATCGTATTCAGATTAAACGAGATCTCGAGAGAGAGCGATTAAGAAAGACGAAATCTGATAACGAACGTCAGGTATCTAACCTTTTATATTGGAAAGAACTTTTGAGTATACAGTAAAGACTTCCCTTTCCGTTTTTTTTTTCATTCCGGAGATCCAAGCAGTCACGTGACGATACGCTGCTTTTCCCATCAATCGGCCACTTGTGTCCACCCCGCGTCAAACGGGCACTTGTTCTCTCTCTCTGTCAATTTCCCACTTGTTCCCTTTCTTCTCGGTTATTCAGCTACTTGTATCCTCTACCGGTCAAATGTCCACTTGTCCCCCCCCTCCGTTTACTGGCCACTTGTTCTTCACGTGTTTAAAATTTATTCGTGTTGTGTCCTCGACGTAGGAGCACAAAATCAAGCTGCGGATTGTGAGGAAAATGAACAAAGATAACGATGAGAGATTGAAACATCTTGAAGAAAGGAAGAACGAAGCTAAGCAAGTCAAAGCTCAGAAGGTATGAACGACAAACAAGTGTTTTCTAAATAACCAGAAAGCATCGTTATTTGTAATCAAAATAGCTTTGCGTATAATTCTTTTTCGATCCTGATTTTGCCATGATTGACAATGATTGACAACAGCATTACGCAAACGACGATATCTAGAATAGAAAAGCGACAAAGATATGAGAATAAGTCGCTATGTGGGATGGCTTTGATTTTTTCTGGTTAGGAATAAACTAGGGATTTGGATTTTGGTTAGGATCAGAACTAGAGTTGGGTAGTTAGGGTTAGGAAAGATGCGGGGAAAGTGCTGAGAAATAATTGAAACTCCACATTAACCCAAATATGACAAGTCTGTCAACAACAACAACAGTAGCGACAACAACAACAGCAACAATAAGAACAACAATAACCAGAACAACAACACAACAATAACAATAACAAGCTATTGTGAGTTACCCAAGTTTACAAGTTGTTTAATTTAGCAAAGCATTCTTGGGGTGTTTGTCCTTACAGCTTGAAGAGCAATGGTTACGTCGCAAAAGTTGGTCAGTTGAACATCACGAGCATCAGAATCAACTTAGGCAATTTCAAAACCAAGAATTCCAACACAATGTTGAAGAAAGGAATGCGAAAGTTGCGAAGCAACGTCGCTTAAGTTTAGGTATTGTGGGTCATTTTAATAAATTCTTCCTAGTATTGTATAGTAATTATTATCTATCTAGTGTTAATACTGAAGGTTGACCTCAGCTAATTTTGTTACGGATAGTTTGATATCTTTCTAAAGGTCCAGCTAGTAAGGATCATCTCTTATTGATCCAGTGTTACTACAGGAGGAAATCTAAACTAAACTAACTTTATACTGGATAGCTCTATCAGTTCTAAACTGTTCTTCCTAGAGATCCAGTAAAGATGATTTCTTATTGATCCAGTGTTACCACAGGAGGAATCCTAAACTAAACTAACTTTATTTCTACTGCAAGTTCTAGTTGAGGGACTTTGGATAGAACTTCTCATTCTTCTCTAGTATCCTACCAGGAAATCGCCGAAGCAAACCGACGAGCGTTTGAAACCCAGCTCGAAAATGCCGAAGTATTTCTCGCGAAACTCAACCACAAAAAGGCAGAAGAATTAAAAGAATGGAGGAAGAAATTCGAAGCGATGCAAAAATTGTCCATGACAACTTTAGGTAGCGGTCCGAACCAGTCCATCATAATTAAGAATATCAAGAAACGCGCAAGACGTCAAAGTGCCTGGGACCTAGGTAAACACAGTGAACTATAATAAAACCTGGAACGCTAACTCTTGAAGCCAAAAATTTAAGCAAAGTTTTTGACTCTGTTTCTCGATCAATTTTTATAAAAATTAGATAATTTCTCTCTACGTCTGTCTCAAACTTTCAAAAACTTCCTTCTTGAAAAACTTGAAAAACTACCTTCAAATTTGGCTCCAAAGATGGCGTACCACGATAACTGTTACTAACAAATCTATCTAAGCCATAATTGTTGTGATAAGTTGGACACGTTTGCATTGTATTGCCATATCGATCTGGGGCAGGTTGTATCAAGCCCGTTTAGCTTAAACGGTGGTTAAGTTCAAAATAGAAAGCAAGTCTATCGTTTTATTCAAGAAGCAAACTAAATGTTTTTAACCTTAATACAAAGATACTGTTTACAACTATATATTCAGTGCATAATATTCAAGTTGATTCATTTAAGAGAGATGTAAGAGTGTTATTTAATTTTGACTTATCCGCCGTTTAAGCTAAACGGGCTTGATACAACTGGGCCCAGGTCATGCGTCCGTATCCTTTTCAAAGCTCACTGACACTCCGACTCCATCAGTGGGAGGTCTCAATCAGATTGTAACCATTCCATGTCGGTATTTTCAATTGATTTTATCACTTTTATGTGAAAATCTACCTCATAATAAAGTACGATTTATTTTTCTACCCAGAGTCGTGTTTGCTGAAAGACCTCGGAATAGCCGAGAAGGAAATGTCGGAGAACGCTTACAGTAAGATCGGAGTAATATCTCGGATCGACGAACGTAACTTTGCTGGGGATAACAAGGGAGCTTTAGGATCGCTGATAGAAGATGATGACGCCGAGGGACAACAGCACAATAAGGAGTTCCGGTTTTCAATCCCGACGATCGTTGAGAGCTTGGCGTCAATACAGGTAACTGGGCTCGGTTGTATAAAACTCTTTAACAACATTTTGCATATTTTTAAATCCCAGTTAACTTAGAAATACACAACTCAGAAATACACAACTCAGAAATACATGTCTTCTCATTCTTTTTCACCAGGAGCAGTCGTCGGATGAGTCGGACTCGGACAGCGATTATTGCCCATTCAACAATATCCCGAGTGTATTTCGATTCAAAAGCCATCATGATTTGCAGCCAATATCAGACTCACCGGAACTCAAACCAAATAGCCACATTCCCGAAGGAGAAATGCGCGTGCTCGTGAAAGATTACGTACAAGGCGTATTGCAGCAGTCCGCTGACGTGCTTGGTGTCGATATTAAGTTCCAGGAAAGACTCTCCAGAGAGGAAATTCCGAGAATTAATGATGTCAAGAGAATTCGTAAGTTACCATGGTGTAAACAACTTTGCTTCCAGCGTCATGCATGACTTGGATTCGTCTCACTTGTTTTAACCACAGGCTCAGTAACAGCCATTCTTACTAAGCGAATGTCATAATATCTTAAACCTAATATCGGACTACTGATTTTTTCAAAACAGCTCTTTCTGGTGGTCTTGTACAGACTCTCTTTTATGTTAATCTAGTGTTACTACTGGAGAAAACCTGAACGAAACTGACTTTTAGGTACTGGATAGCTCTAGCAGTTCTGTTACTTCAAAAGATCCGATAAAGATCATATCTTGTTGACCCAATGTTAGAACAGAGATAACCTTAACCAAACTAACTTTAGTCATCCTGGATAATTTTATTAGCTCTAAATGTTCTTCTAGAGGTCTAGTGAGGATAGTCTCTTGTTGATGTGATATTACAACAAGAGGATATCTTGTATCTGAAAAAGATATCTTTTATCGGAAAATGTATCTGTTTATGATGGAAATGATTGAGGGATTCTCCTAAGTTTCTTTAATGTTAGCATGTAAAGAATATCTTTTTCTTTCCACCTCTTTCTCCAGCCGAACTTAAAACAGTGGAGTTGGATACGGACGGCTCCAACATGCGATCTAAGGTGAAAGAATATCTCTCGAGTATCTTAGACAAAGTCGAGGACAAAATTCAGGTGACCATCAAACGTCCTCCAGAATACGAGAAGATTAAACAGGACAGAGAACCATCAGCTAAAACACCTGTTGAGACATCCGTCGACGACATCATTGATTCCAAACTGCACTACCACAACAAGAGAAACGTTATTCGCCTGTATCTTTGCAAGATCCTCGAAGACGCAGCTGAACAGAGCCAGGTTTGTTTGCCACACTTTCCATATATTGCCATTGCTCGGAAGTTTTAACATCATAACGGCAAACATTCGTAAAAAAATTGAATTTCATGTTCAAATTAATCTGTGTCATTCTACTAGGATTTGCTGCCGAGAAAAACCTTTTCGCTTTTATTCGTCTTATCGAAGATTTTCTGTGAGTTAAAGTAGATTCGAGTAGATTCTAAATTCGCTGAGACATTTCTTTCCAGGTCAACGTGACGTTCCCGCCTCAATACCAGTCCTTTGCAAAACGGTTGCACAGGCCTCGGAGAAAAGCACCCGGCGACAAAGGTTCCTCGAGTGATGCCGCATCTCAAATGGCCGGTCAGCACACGGTGGTTTTGAGAGCTATCGCATGCGGGACAGTGGTGTTAGAGTCTGCTGAGAGGAAGGCGTCGATGACCGTTTGTTCTCCAGATCTCGTCCAAGATATTAAACGAACTGCCTCTGAAATTGAAACGATGAAAAGTGAGTTGTCATTTCAACTCGATCCGAAGAGTTGTCATTTCAACCACTAGCTGTTCTTGTAGGCAAGAAATCCAACAACGCAAAGCTAGGAAGCATTTCGACAGGAGAACTTGCAAAAAAATTTTCGGAATTGTAAAAAAATGTGGAAAATACGGCCCTGCGAGGAAAGCTGAATGCACATGTATTTCGCCAGGGTTGTATATTTCATGGTCGGATAACAGGCGTTTCAAAGAACGGAGGAAAAGGGAAAAGCGAAGTTATCTTCTTCCTCCCCTTTTTCCCTTTTCCCCTCTGCGACCTCTCCTTTACCCTTTCCTTTTATTTCCTCCCCATTACTCCCTTTCCTTTAACCCCTTTCCCCCCTCCTTGTTAACCCCTATTCTTTACTCCTTCCGTTTTCCCCAGCTTCCATTTGCAGTTTTATGCATTGTGATTCACAGCGATTCGTGCCCACGTTCATTCTTAGATAAATACGACAAGGTTCGAGCAAAACGTCTCTTTCACGAAAACCTCATCATGATAGCGACAAGAACTGTAGTCGAAGCTCTTCACCATGCTGTTGTTACCGTACGCTCTCAGAGAAGGTACGACCATCGATCTAAAAAAACAGTATTGCAAAAAAGTCTTCGATCTTTCCTAGGAAGTCATACACTCTATGAAGACCTTCCTCAAATTATATGATTGACAGCTATTTGGTAGCCCTGAGTTATTTTATTAACTTTGCCTGAATTTAAACAAGACGCCTGTTCTGGCGTTAACTCCGGCGCACGTGCCAGTCTTCATCATATTCGCATTTAGATGCCTTGCGAACCTAAATGTTCGATCGCGAAATTCAAAAGGACATTGTACTTTAAAAAGTATAGAAGTTCAATTGTTCAAAAATGTAAATAAACCGCATGATATATTCGCTTTGTCTTACACTTTGCCTTTGGAATTCGCGCTTATATAGTTATATTAAATGTTCAATCCTGTGCAAACTACGACGTTCAACGCGCCCATACACGACCACATCATCTTGTTAAACGTCGAAATAGCAGCGATATTATTAAAATAGGACCAAAATCTACATGTATTAAATATATTCTTACCCCAATTCAATCTAAACTTAGTCGAAAAGCGTGAAAAGAACGGTTTATTTGTTGCTCTTGGAGGAATTGGCGTATCATGCGAGCGAAATCGAATCGCGCATCGGAAAATTAGCCAAAGCTGTGCACCACAACTCTTAGCAGATAAGACTGGGACGTAAATAAATACGGTTACATACACACTTTAAATACTACAATGTTTCGCGCCATTCAGACTTGCGACGACGAAAAATAAAAAAATAAAAAAAAAAACAACAAAACAAAACCAGGGCGAATTTTCAACTCCGTCGTTGACGCCGGAGTAATGATTGCTGTTTCTGTGATCGCAGCAACCTCGCAAGCCAGACTCTTTTACCTACGCTCCACGGCCCAGGCTGCGGCAAAGACCGTGGAGCGTAGGTAAAAGAGCCTGGCTTGCGAGGTTGTGATCGCAGCTGACGTTTTAATTTAAGGGTTTACTGGAACACTTGATAGAATTTAAAACATCAATTAAGTGAATTAACCCTCAACATATTTCATTCATTTCATTTTGGTTACAAATTAATTCAAACGAAAGATTTTCCAGACTAGGGCCCGGTTGTATCAAGCCCGTTTAGCTTAAACGGTGGATAAGTCAAAATGAAATAACATTCTTATATTTCTCTTGAATGAGTCAACTTGAATATTATGCACTGAATATGTAGTTGTAAACAGTATTTTTATATTTAAAAACATTTAGTTCGCTTGTTGAAGAAAACGGCAAAACTTGCTTTCTATTTTGAACTTATCCACCGTTTAAGCTAAACGGGCTTGATACAACCGAACCTAGAATTCTAACTTTACTAGCAGCTGAGCATCTTTGTCAAAATTGTTTACATTTTATTTATTTAGGAATTCAGATTTCTTCATGTCAGACTTGCCTAATCTTCGCCTCAAAGACGACCCTTCGCCACCGAGCAAAGAACAAACAGTTTTGTTGAAGCGACAGAGATCCCAGCATCGCCGTGAGTCCATCGAAGCAAATCAAATTGAAGCGGTCCCGCGCGAAATTGACTTTCTTAGTGAGGTGTCTGCAAAAAAAGGCGGGAAAAATATGTCGTGTCAGGCGACCACGCAGACAAACAAGAAAAGTAAAAAGGAACTCTCTAAGTTCCAAGAGCCCAATACACACAGCGCGAACAAAAAGACTGGATCGGAGGGTAAACCGATTCCTAAAACCGGTAAACAAACTGGGACCAAGAAAGCTGACAAGAAGAAGGACACCCAGAAGACTGGGGACCTGTCCGAAAATAGCGAAGAGACTGGGAAGCTGCAGGGTAAAGTCGAGCAGCAGATTGGTGCGAATAATCAGAAGGCTAGTTCAAGTGACGCCATCGAGGTGGTTGTCACGGAGACAGAGAATAGTGAAGCACGTATACAGGAAATTGGACATGGGAGTGAAAATGCTGGCGATCCCAAAATTATTGGGGATGATCTGAAGGGTACTATGGAACATCTAAGCGATGAAAACCAAACGCATAATGAAAGAATATTAAGCAATGGAGGTCAATTAGGTGATGATGGGATGGAAGCACCTGTTAGCACATTATCCATGGCATCTCCCTCCTTACCAAACGTTACCCCTGAGCCGTCGGGATTTGGTCCACCTCCGGACGAAGTCAGATCCGGCGCCGTCCCACCAATTACTGAGGCGTCTAACGCTGACAGGGGCCCCGCGGGCTCGCCGTCTTCGGCGATTTTTCGCATGATAAGCATGCGTGAAACACGTGAAAGTTGTGATCTCTCGCCGAAGTCCTCCTACGTCATTCTTCCGACCCTGACGTCATCGGAGGGTGCTCTGATCAACACACGAATGGCGCAGTTGCTCAGTAACGACCACTCGAAGACCAGAGGTCTGGAAACCAGCTCACGTGGTCACTTACCGGCACTGAGTCCTAGTCCTTCCAACGAAGACCACTTCACTGACCATACAAATGAGCCAGTGAGATTACCAAGCGTGCCCTCGGTCGAGTCGTGTCCATCCAGATCACCAACGCCAGTCAGATCGCTTTCCCGAAGTTCACAAGTTGAATTACCTCATATTGGTACGTCAATGAAACCTACAAAAAATGAAATTATTAAATGAAATTTGTTGAGATTTCACATTACTATCTTTTTTTTTATCGATGTATATATGTTATTCGATTTCTAGATGGTTCCAGTACGTCTCTCGTCGGAAATGTTGAACAAGCGTCAGTTAAAACCGACGAACCGTCGAACTCTACTGGTACAAAAGCACCACAAAATACCGCAAAGCCTTCGAAACCTATCGCAGCAACCAAGGTGCCTGGCAAACCGACCCCGTCTTCCAAGACAACCCCAGGCTCGAAACTTCAACCGGGCAAGCCACCTGTACGAGCAAAATCCGAAATTTCTAGGAAACAGGTTGCAGCGCCCACCTTCCCCCCGCGCAAGGGAGGACAGGTCCGCTCCTCTGTGGCGCTTGTCTCGGCAAAACAACCAGCTACCCCCACGCATCAAAAGAAATCTGGTGAGACAACAGACCCTGCCAAGCAGAAAAAACAAGAGAAACAGGGTAAACCGGCTGACACCGCCTCTCCACAAGATCGGTAAATATTTCAGTTTCTTCAGTTCAATCTCTTCAACGTGTATCTCGATTTTTGTGAGAGTTCAAGTCCTTATGTAAGCAAACTCTATGTTTGTCTTGACTTCCACTTTAACGTACTTGGCCGCCATAATTGAAGCCAAGCCAGCCACTGCGGACGTCTACCAGTTATTTTTTACCGTTTTTGCCTGGCAATTGTCCTTTTATTCCGCTTCAAATTTGCTTCAAAGATGGCGACCGAGTTATCTCTCAAGTTTACAAGTAGTTCATCATTGAACTCCTTGCACTGAGTTCACGTTAAGTTCCTCTAAAGTTCACAAACCTACTTTATTTACCTAAATTCTGTCATCTATCGGTTGTTTAACAATTGAATTATGAACTTGAGATTTTAATGAGATGACAGTTGACAAGAGGGAGTTAATAGTATAGCCAACCAGCGTGCAGTATTCCAAATATAGTACTCGACTAAGCTTTCACAAATTACGTGTAGGCCGGCAAAGTCGAAATCCATGGGAGAAGCAATGGCGACGGCAAGAAGGAACTCACAGGGGGGCTCGCACAATAAAGTTCGAAGACCATCGGATGTTGCATTTCATACGAGTAGCATTGCTGAGCTTGAAAAAAACTTTGCCAAGCCTGCCAACCGAAAGTCCAGCACAACTGTCAAATCACATTTACAGTTTGGTTCAACGCAGGAGAAGTCAAACGCCCCGACCTCAAACGATGCACATGGAATCGCAAAGCCCTCCGGTGCCAAGAAGTCTTTGCAAGATGTTAAAGCGAAGCCAGCTCGGGACGCCCACGCAAAATCCACGAATGCTGTCCACACGAAATCGGCCCCCGATGATAACAAAGCTAAGGGCGCTACGCCGTCGAATATTGATCATACAAAGCCGGAGAAGGACGATAACAACCTCAGTGTCGTAAAGGGCCACGCAAAGTCCACGCAAAACGCACGCGTGAAGTCCACGCAGGATACACACTCAAAACCCACGCAGGATGCACATGCAAAATCCACGAAGATGGCTAAAACGGAAGACAGGCCGGACAAAACCACAGAAAATACTGAATCGAAACATAAAAAGGATGCCGAGGGTTTGAAAAACTTCGACAAAAATGCCACTGCAAAGCCGAATAAGGATTACCAGTCGAAAGATTCGCAAAAGAGCAATTTGACTGGTTTAAGTATGAAAGAACTCAAAGAAAAGTCGAAGACTGTGTCAGCGACGGTAACCACAGCTAAAGAATCACAAGATACCTCAAAACCTTCTGCACATCAAGAAGAAGCGATAGTTAGCGCGCCGGAGAGTGAGAGTGACAGCGCTTCAAGACCTAGCACAAGTCCAAAACCCACGCAAAGTCCAAGTCCAAAACCCACGCAAAGCCCAAGTCCAAAACCTACGCAAGGCCCAAGTCCAAAACCCGCGCGGGCGTCTTCATCGCCAACTTCCCAGGGCAGCAGGGAGGAGGACCCCGAAAAACCGCAGTCCATGAGAGGCGCACTGATAATGTCTCCAGATGTTGAAGAATTATTAAGGAACGGAAGCCCAGGAGAAAGTCAAAAAAGTTCAAGTCATACCATTCTTGAAAATACGGAAAGTGAAACGGAATTTTTCAGAAAAAACCAGATAAAGAAATGGGATGATTCAGTCGCGGAACCTTTAGTAGATGAGACTGCCGAAAATAATGCTCGTAAGAAGTCGAGGCCTCGCGGAACAAAACCGAACGTTACCAAACCTAAGCCGAAGAAGCCATTAGTGAAAAAAGCAAAACAGAGCGAAGACGAGGCGAAGGTTTCCGATAGTAAAGAAAAAGTTGGCGATGGCGCTACGAAGGTTTCCGATAGTAAAGCAAAAGATTACGAAATAAAGCAAGAGTTTCTGATACTAAAGGAAGAGATTGGATGGTACAGCAACCGTTACCGGTAGTAGTGCGAAAACATCCGATAGCAAATCGAAAGTTTCCGATGCTGCACAAATTGCTAACTCGGACTCAAAAAATTCAAGAACGTCGATAGCCGGCAAGGGAAAGAATAGTTTCAACACGGGGTCCAGATCGAGATCAGATTCAAAGACAAGTTCTGTTCAAAGCATTGCGAAGCCTGAGGTTACAAGACGGAGTAGTCTGTCTGTTTCGTTCTCGTCCAAGTTAAAGCAGCTTCCAGAAGTTCAGAAAGAGAGAAGAGAGAGTGTAGGCCGTTTGACGAAGAGGCGAAGCAGCGTAAAGGTCACAAAGAAGGCGAGCAGCAAGGAGATAAAGCGAAGACGCTCTACTAAATCAAGTACCGAGGTAGTGGCAAAGGTAGATTCAAACCGCAAAGTCTCAAATATCAGTCTTTCTAAAGCTCAAGGGAAAAGCCGTAAGAAATCTTTGAAAGATGTAGTGGCCAACAAAACGAAATCGAAAGAGAATACTAAGAGTGAAGACACACAAATGACGAACGTGGATGACACGACGAAAACGCGAATGAATAACGCGCAAGAAACGCACACGAATAACGCGCAAGAAACGCACGAGGCTGATTCGCAAGAAACACGCGTGGAAGACCCACAGAGCACACACCTGGACGAAACGCACGAAACACGCGTGGAAGACACGGACAAGGGAAGCGTGAAGGAACCGCAAGAAACGTGCTTGGTAGAATCACAGGAAAACTCACAAGAGGTCGCGCAGGATACACTCGATACAGATTCCGATGAAGCTCGCGTGGATGACTCGCAAGGGACCCGCGAAGGGGCGGATGATGGTAATTTGAAATCAGGGTCTGATCGTGAAGTCGTAGTCCAGGTTTACGTTCCCGACGAAGGTCAGAGTGATAGCCATAGTGATGGTCTGGTAAGCGAGAATACATCGCAGGAGTCTAGAGACAAGGTCGAAGTGACGCTGACTGGGAACGAGAATGACGGGGGAGTAACTAAAATTGATTTAAAACCGTGGGAAGACCCGGGGAAGACAGTAAAGAAAACGAGCTCAAGGCGAGCCTTTGGTGATAATGTCGTAGAGAAAAACCTGGTGAATATTATACCAAGAAACTCCTTGGATGTCATCAAGGGCATTCAACTCACCCCAGGGGAGTCTAAAGTTTCTGCCAATAGGTCGTTTCACTCGAAGACAAATCACCCTCGAGCTCCAACTGCACCAAAGCAGGGACCGCGAGTTTCACGGCGAAACCCCCCGGACGCGAAACCTTTGAAGGTATCGAACTTTGAGTTACCACCAGAAGGCCAGGGGGGAGTGGGCTTGAAGCCAACGCCGCACGGTAATAAACCTCAAATGTCAATGCATCGTCTGGCTTCGAAGATGTCCACGAACTTGGAAAAAGTCGACGAAGGTTCCGCTTTGGAAACAGGACGCCCAAGCGCACCTGACAAATTCGGCACAGCGTTCAACATAACTGGCGTGAAAGCAAAGTCTACATCAAGTGGTCCTGGGACTGATAAAATATGCGAGACACAATCTTCAGTCGAGAAGACAAAAAGCGAAGACGACAACGTTGAGAAGACAGCTGAAAAGGTCAGTAGACGTATCATATCAACATATGTTTACAATCCTCGTCCCCAGTGCCATCCCTACACGGCTAATTAATGGGAATGGACACTTTTTGACAATAAATCGAGTGTAGTGTAAAGGTGGCTATACTCACCGGCTTCTTTCGTGTAAAAGCATTTTCTTTCAAAACAAATCAGCCAGGCACAAAACAAATATATACTCCCAAGTTCTAGCCCAGGAATCGGCCTGTTTGCTCGAAAGTTTATGTGTCGTCTGGAAGACAAACCCACCAAAATATCAGGTAAGCAGAAAAATTCTTTCCAGCAAGAAAGAATTCTTTCCTGCTTTTCAACGTGCACCTTGGAGATCTGCGGAGAGCCTTTATCTTTCCTCACAAGCATTTTTTATCGACAGACATATTTATGTAAGATGTGGCGCTGTTTGATAACATAGTTTGAAATCGTCCAGGCTCCGGTCCGTATCACTATATATATTTATTTATTTTATTGAAAGGTGGATGAAAACGTTGAGAAGAAAGGCAATGAAAAAACCGAAGCTACGCTAAAGTCCTCGAATAAGTCCTTGCAGTTATTAATGAAAGTTTCCGGAGTTTGCATCGACTCAACATCATTTGCAGGAGTCGTGCAAGGTAAATCCAGATCTGAAGTAAGATAAGCGTCCAGTGTTACTACTGGAGGAAAACTAAACTAAAGTAAACTTTATTTATACTGGATAGCTCTATCAGTTCTAAACTGTTCTTCCTAGAGGTCCAGTAAGGATCATCTCTTATTAATTCAGTGGTACTACAGGGGATAACCTTAAATAAACTATCTTTATTAATCCTGGATAGATCGTTTTAGACCGTTTCTACAACGGTCCATTAAGGATCATAACGTCTGGGCACAAATTTCTCGACCTATGAATTTGAGCGGGGGAATTTATGAGAATTTTTATACAACTCAAGGTACACCCATGCGTGTAGCAAGCGATGATGTCGTCGGACATACGTCATCAGCAAGCTTGAGATCGAACTCGTCCCAACCTCTCGTACCTTCGCCTCCAATCACGTCCAAACCCGACATGGTCTCGCCACGTATCTCGCGCATGATGTCTCGCAAAACGAGCAATGGTTCAGGCAACGGTTCGGGCAATTCACGTGGCTCGTTCGGTTCTGCGAATGATATGTCGCCGACTGCATCGATGGAGATTGTCAAACTAGCTTCCAACTCCTCGCACGGTTGGGTCTCGTCACCAACCTCCTCGGTGAAATTCCTTCCGCCGATCGACGCCCGCGCTTCAAAGGTAATTGTGTCATTTTTCTGAACAGCTTGAACGACTTAATTGCGGAATAAACCTGGATTTCGTTAGGTCTATCCAGTTTGCATTATGAGTGCAGTGTTACTCAATAGTACTTGCTGGGTAATCTATTGAAGGTATTGATAGACCCATTCCAGTCATACTAAGAGATCCAACACTGATCTCATAGTACGCATTTGATAAATCGATTTAAATGCCATTTTCAGCGAGACTTGAACACTTGAAGCAAATCTTTACACTGAGATAAACGCAAAAAACACGAATTTTTCATTTTCACAGGCAAGCAACCGATCTGACGATTCCGGTACAAAGCGTCGTCCGCGTACCGCCGAGTCAGCGGGTTCTCAGACCGGAAGTGTGGGGTCTGGATCGAGTTCTAAATCTCAGGCGAAACCAACGGTCGTGGAAATTCGACGATCCGGTTCGGGTGATCTTCGGATCGATGGCTCGAGTTCGGGTCTTGTCGGCGTGAAATCGACAAGTTCCGCTAGCAGCCCGAAGCAAGCAGTGGTCGGATTTTAGAAATGCTCTTATTTGGTGACACCGTAACATATCCGTATATAACATTTCCAAAGTACTTTCTAACGATTTAACCTCTGAATATATTTTTGTATTTTTATTTTGACCTTCAGTTTGGCGTCTATGCAACACGATCACAACACTATTTATACCCTCGACACGTGAAACTTACTTAAACGGACCCGGCTAGAAAATCTTTAGTCTAGCTCTGCTTTTCACCCGCCGTTCCTAATTTTACAAACGACGCCCGCTGACAGTATGAGCCCGCGCAAGCGAGAAAATGTCGCGGAAGTTTTTTAAGAATATGATTTTGAAACATTTGTTATGGCGCAGCAAATCAGCGAGAACTGTTTTTTCCGAGGAGGGGCCAGGAGGAGTTTTTTCTCCGCATGCCGTCCTATTTTTGGACCAGGAACTGGTCCCTAACCGCTGCTAGTCTTCTTCTTGTTGTTGTTGTTGTTGTTGTTGTTAGGGGGCGACGCTCTTTAAAAAAACCTTAAGGCTCTATCATTACTTGTTTGATCGGAATGAAATTTGGCACAATCATTCTAAGCAATATTCCGCATCGATTGACGGAGTTCGAATTTTTACTTTTGACCTTTGAAGCAAGTTACAAGCAATTCTTGATATATTTGCAGCAAATAATATATACATATCATTAATATTCAGCCTATATATAAGTAAACGCAAACGATTAGAAATACATTGTCCTCTTCATTGTTATAAATACAATGCAGTTCAGAGATTAAACTCGGTTACGCAGTTCCTGGTCCACTATATTACGATCGTACTTGTTGTCAAAATAAACGGAAAGGTAGCGGGAATCGCCGTTTCTCTTTCAGAGAAAGAAAATTTTGTATTATTGAAAGAAATCTTTACTTGGCAGACACCAAAGCTCCTCAAAAGGAAGCCCATCCTCGCTTTAAATGATGTGACATTACTGAAACATTTTAACATTGCTATCACAAATTTTTAACCCTTACAGAGTTTGTTTCCCGTTTCCTACCCTAACTCTCTTGTTCTCAAGCGGACACTGCGAATCTTTATGCAAATTTCCACCAGCCATATTATTCCTGGTTCGACCGATGCTCAACTCTTTATTCAAATGAGCTACAGTTATGTATGATGCTTGCCCTTATATAGCAGTGACTTGCAAATTCACCAAATATTTGTATGCTTAATTATCCGTTGGAGCATAGCTTCGTAAATATAACTTATATTCCAGTACAACTTTCAATCGATGGATTTATACTCCTGAGCTCTTGCTTATCTGTCTTGATCTGAGTCGATTTAAGCTCCGAGAAGCCTAGAAAGGTAAGTTGGGAAAGTTATTTTTAAAGTTGTTTCGTATTTCGAATGTTGGCGTCATTCGAACAGGCCAGAATTCATGCGAGTGTCGTTTTGTTGATTGCGTTGTTATTCCACCTAATATCTCGACATTTCGACAAAGCTATGGATTATTTTCGACTTCGTATATTTGAAGACAAGTCTTGGCAGCTTGCCTGTTAAGTTACCGTATCGAGGCGGGAAAACTGAGTCGGTTGTTTTGACTTTTAACTAAAGAGTATTTTCGTAGATTTGCACGGCTGCATGTGGCATTTCATATGTCTCATGTGAGCAGCCTTTAAATAATACGAGACAAGCGTAAAATATATGTACCCTTAGGCTACTGGCCTGCAATTTACGACACAATTCAATATCAGTGAAGATATGGAAAGAGTTTACCTCTTCACTGACGCTGTTACTGTCTGTAGTGCGTAAAAAAGTCGGTAAACGACTAAACGTTACCGAACGTAAGAGCTACAAGCCGAGACCAGTTATGAATGACCATGGTCACGGTTCTAGCCGATGATCTAAGTTTGTCAGAACTACAAAACCTTAATTAAGCTGTTACTTGCAGGCATATTGTAAAGACACCACGATTTCGGAATTCTATACTTGTTGCTTTCTGTACTTACTACAGGCGCTATAGTTGATTTGGTAGTACGTTAATTAAAAGTATAGTAATAGCTTCTAAACTCGTTACCAAACTGCAGATAACAACATCCATGTGAAATATATAGCGTATAATTATCGAAGCGATCGTTTTTAAAGGACAATATTCGGATGAAATGTTTTGAAGGACAAAAGATCTTTAGAACTTTCAGTTCCAGTTTTATATTATACAACTTAAGACGCTGCCAATTTTTGGCTCATGACTCGATATCATTCAGGTTTTAAACACCAAGATATCTGCATTATTAAAAGGCTATTCAATATATTCTAATCGTGCTAGCTTTGTATCTATCGCGGAGTGCTGATAATCTTGAAACCAAACGAGTGTTTAGTTCATTGTAAGCCTGATCTCCACGGGACAAATCGACATGTACAACTACAAATGAAAAGTTAATGAAGCATTTCACTCAATTCATTGTCAATTTAATAGGTTTTGCAAACATCTTCATCACTATAAGTCTTCCCAAGTAATGCATGCATCACTTTAAGAAATAATATTGATATGCTGCTTTACTGTATGAAAGTTTTTCTTAGAAACTATAATGAAAAGTCATTTTGTTGTCACAGTTTGTTTGTGAAACATTTATCCAACAGTAGAGTAAGCCCTAATTTAGCATATATTTTAGGCATTTTTTTATATATACAGACCATTTTGTTTATAATTGAATTAAAATGAATAGGTTTCCTAGTTGTTAGACGAGTTTTGAGGCTAAATATCGCAATACCAGTTGATATATTGATAGACGCAATATAATGGCGGAATTTGTTCACGCAGGCGGTGTGCTTCCCCGGCATACAATAATTCCGGTATCGTGTTCGGAAATAACCAAGGATAAGAATTATGAATTTTCAGTTGTTCAAATATTTTTCGCTCGGGAACAAATAATTTTAGAAATATTGCCCGGATATAATTGGAATGGAAATTAAGTATTATTATAGTCGGGCATACCCGACTTGTGCAACTTTGCCATTCCAGGGGAGGGGGCTCGCATCCTGCGACCTCGCTTCATGCGCCTATTGTAATTTAAATGCTCCGTGTTCCCGTCTGTCGCATTTGAATAGAAAAACTCTTATTTCCTTATACATGCATGAGTCTCGACTCCTTGTAATATTAAGAGGAATGGTAAAATATATCGCTTTTTTAAAATGGGAAGAAAGGGACTGAGTGATTTCTTTATTCGAAATATATATATCAAAGTCCCTATAACGAATATGTGATTTTTTTATACAGACCTATTGTCTGGCAAAGGTGTAACCTTGGATTGGGTATATTGCACCTTCGGGTTCATAAGTTAAGAGCATATATGAAACGCTCGCTTTGAAACGTTTAGTGTTGCATTTGAACAAAATATCACCGAAGATGTAAACCATTTTGTTCAAAACCTGGACGTGGACTCAAACGCGATATAGTTGATATTACCTTTCGCGATGGGTTGATATTACCTTTAAGTTAAAGATAAAAAATCGACCATTATTGATCGATTTATTAATTGATCGCGATCAACTGATTAACGAAGCTAGCTAAGTTAACAAACACTGAGTTTTCAGTAGCCAATTACTGGCCAATTATTGATTTCAAACGCGAATTGATGTTTAGCAGGTATAGTGTCTGGGTAATTGCAATTTTAGGCATCTATGCACCTGCGTATTAAAATTCAATTTTCCATAAATTTAAAGAACGTAAAACTATTCTGAGAATTTAAAATGGTCGTTCTGTCTTGATTTAAAAATGGAACTGGTAATATATCATAATAAGTACATGTATGTATTCATTTAGCATGGAGATCAGCCGTATTCTTCCTAGAACCGTAAAATATTTCAAATTCTAATAGTTTACCGGTCCGGGCACATCCACGATATATTGAATAGTGTTGCAAAATGCTCGATCCCCTCTTGTAAAAAAGTAGCACACAAGTGGTTTCTGTCACGAAGATAGCCAACATCACGGATAGTTGAGGTTAATCTGCCCAAACACGAAACTCGAGGAAATTGGTCGGTCAATGGCATTTCAGACGAAGGAACAGGGTGGAATATTCCGGTGGCGTGATAACCCATGGCAATCTAGGCAATTGTGAGGACATTAATGTGAGACAAAATGTATTATCGTTCAAAAGGTACACGTGTGTCAAACCTTACAACTTCGGAAGGATTTCGATCATCGGCTAAGAATCTCGTTTGCTACGGACCCCCACCCTTCCTATAGTTCAGCGTATTTCGAGGTCAGTGGCTACTACAACATTACAAAAAACTACACATGCACAGAACAGAAATGGCGGCACGTTTAAAAACTCTCTATAGTCTATCGCCTCATCAGCTCGCACGATTAACTCAATTGAGGGAGAAACAAAATTCTCTTTTGGTGCAATTAAAAAGGTTGATAAAATATAGTCTAGGTTATACTTCACATTTTGGTCGCATCAAATTAAACAAATGATAATGGCCATAATTAGATTTTTCACCTCTCATCATCGTTCGTCCTACACAATATACCACCATATCACTTCCACACAGTTATTCCATTCACTTCCACAAAGTTAATCTAAGAAATGGAATATTGAATAGGCTGATACTACATAGTGAGATTATTGCATGGGTAATGCTTTAACATTTCACAACGCTTTACTTTAACACTTTTACGTCAAAGGATGTTTTGTGACCCTTTTGACGTCTGAGGCTTCTAGCCTTCCTGTCAGCTTGTTTCATTTACCCTTTGATACTTGCGGAAAATTTGTTTCGTCTTCACACATTCGAAATTGTCTAAAATGATGGAAAGCGAAAAATTCGTATGGTTTAAGAAAACGCTCAAAGTTTAGGAGGCATCATTTTATAGTTTCGAAATGAGCTTGGTTTTTGACGTCGGAACTTTTTGGTGGGTATGAACAAAGTGGTGTTATTGTCTTAATGTGTGTCAACAGTTAGCCAAATTTTCCTATCAACACAGTCCCATAAGGAAAATTTTCTTACGAATGCCCCACCTGTAGTGACATTTGCATGCTCATTAAGTTGAAGGTAATGTTTAGTCTACTTGAACATGATATTTTATTCTTTGTCTATGGTCTATTTTTTTGAAAACAGATTATTATTATTATGATGGTATTTAAGATAAAAAAACGTTAACGTTACAATATTTAAGGTCAAAAACAACAGAAGATATCTAAAACCTATAATAAAGTAAATAGATTTACGATTCATAATTCAACACATTACACTTTCAATGTCGCTCAATAGCAGGCTCTTATCGCTGCTGTCAATTCCAAAAGCCTGAAACGGAAGTGTACGTACGTAATTGCTGATCATATAAAAGCGCCTACTCGATATGACAACTTGCATTGCATTGACTTGAGATCCGAAGTGAAATTGCTTTCGAGGTAAAATGCATTCAGGGCTGGTCATCACTATCTCCTTGGCTATTTTGCTTCAAAATGCTGCTCAACTCTGCGAGAGTTTGTCCGTCACAAACTACGGTTCAAAACGGATCAGCATGTTGAGACACGGTGAAAAATATGCAACTAATCGACCTTGTTACTCATGGGAAGACGTTCAGCCGAAGTACCACGGAATGACTCACATCAGAGGAAACAACGATAAACGTGGATCGTTCACATTCAACGTTGATGTACCAGTCTTCGTATATCTCGCCGTGGATTCGCGCTATCCTTACATTCACGGAGCTGCTTTCGAAAATACGAGTGAAAAAATCATGCTGGGTGGCTGTCATCCTCGTACTCCTTTTTACATCTATAAAAGCAAACAGGCGCTTGGTCCTGGGCCCGTGACGGTGAATTTTAAAGCAATAAGTATGTCGGGCGTTTTCGTTCGAGATGCAAGGCTCGTACAACCAGCGGCTGAGTTGAAGATCGTGCCACTGACCGCGAGATACGCTGAACTAAGCATGGTGCGAGACGGTGAGAAATTCAGCACAAACCGCCGCTGTTACAAGATGATCGACATCCCTCCGAGGTTTTACGGTTTAACACACGTCCGCCTTTTGAACGACGAGACTTCCTTCTCGTTCCACATCAATGTCCCCGCTGTTGTCTACGTTGCAATAGATTCTCGCCGATCACGCCACCTTAATGTCCTCCCCAGTTCCTTCGTCAACACGGGCGAGAAGATCATACATGCAGGTTGCCACCCGCAGACCGATTTCCCCGTGTTTGCGAAGAGGTTCAATCCGGGCAACGTTGTAGTCAATTTGGGAGTATCCCGGATGATCGCTGTCTTCGTTGAACCACTTGTGGACAACACTTTCAAGACTGGTGTTTATTAGAACATGTGATTCTGCCATGACTGGGTGATCCTCGTTTAGAATTAAGGAATTAGAATTCTATAGTAACAATATATTATAATTATATAACCATAACTATATACTTTCTATACTGTAACTATGTCAAAATTATGTCATTACCTACTCTAGACATTATTAAACACTTTAACCTCGCAAACAAAATGCTGTAACCTAATCTTCTTTAATGATTTATTTTGTGGTAGTTTGGATGTTTCAAATTTTCAACGGTGAAGCGATTACTGTCCATCTTGTATTCTTTGCCTAAAGATCTGAGGAAGGGGTGCCTCTCTCCCTTTCACCCTCCTTTCCGAATTCGCAATGGCTCCCAATTCTTCTTTGTTTGAAAATCGTTGGTTCTGGCCAAGAGACGGCCTCAGAAACAATTAGTAATTCCCTGCGTTCTACGATTCGGTTGAAATAGAAAAACTTAGCTTGAGTATCTCCGAAGTTCCTGAGCCACAGACAAGAATTCCAACAATGCATAGATTGCCCGGTTGCATTCGTAGGGCGCGTGGGATACGTGTGGAGCAGGCACCAGCAGCCTGAAATTAACCACAGTTAACCACTGATCCGTCAAATTTGCCACGCCACTTCGGCATAGTCACTATAAACGGGGGAAGTACGGTTAATTCGATCAGTAAACGACGATACTGGTGAGCGGCAATGGCGTACGCGAGTAATTACAGGCTTGAAATCTCTACAGATTCTGTAAAAAAAAATTATTCTCCCCAGGTTTTCCCTATCCAACTGTTCATTAATTAAGAACAAAAGACCTTCGCTGGAGTTACCTCCGGTTCTAATAATGAGTTTCAAAAGTAAAATCTAGGGACCCAAAATATACCAAATCTGCTTAAAACGAAACCAAAACATTGTGACCAGCGATCACAGTAGCTATAGGGTATCCGATAGGGTGTGATTTTCGCTTCTTCAGTAAATATATTCCCAAGCGACAACATAAACAGTTAAACCCTTAGTTTCGTAAGCTAGCAGCTAGCAAGATGGCTAGATCCGGTGTATTCTAGTATAGTTTTGTAAAGAGACAGAATTCAGCCACAGCTTAACCGGCTGATAAAGACCGATAATTAATAACATTTTAGGGTAAATTGTAACATTGCGATGTAACAAATAAAATGTATTAGAACAATTTTACAGTAATTAGAATTTAGAACAACTTTTACAGTGAAAACTATTTATGAGAACAAAAAAATTAATAGTTTACACTTTGGATGACAGGTATTTTTGTACCGAATGCACCATAAAACGGTCCGTATGATTCAATAAATTGGAGTCAATTAGGCCTTGAGTGGATATTTAGGAGTTTTTTGTATGCAAATTATATGCAAAAATTTAGGTTTAGTTTAATTTCGGCAGCCCCCTCACTGTTGACCGGCGGAGCATGAAAGTTACGTCAAAACAAACTAAAGCGACCTCGTTTTAATCCCCAAACAACTTTATGTTTTGGATTTTACAACTGTCCTACGATCGCTGTTAACGCTAAGTCGAAGGTCGCGCTGGTTTGTTTGACGAATCTGCCTAAAAAATTTTACAGTTTGTAGTTTGTTGTACAACTTAAATTCCCACTATGTCGACCGTTCGTGGGCACTTTCCGGCAGACGAAAGGTTTAAGAGGGATGAATCTTTCCATGATCAGGTCTGACTTGAATATTTAAACGGTATTTTTATTTGACAGTTGCCTCAAGTAGATCAAAAGTGGGCAATTGAATCGTTTGTGGTCGACGGGCATCATTTTATTGGGAAATTTGTACTTGTATTGAGGCAACCTGCTGCGGTTTTCAATTCCCAACCAATCGCTTCGGCAAATTGGCTCACTTGTGAATACAAAGCTATATTGAAAGCCGCATAGAAAACCAAGCATTTTCTTTTCAATTTCAGGAGGCCCAATTCGACAAGCTAAGCCGAAGTTTGGAGATAGAAAAACGCAAGGTTGCCAAAAAACTCGAGAAGGTAAGCTGCTTCTTCCATTTCAAATCGCTTCGGTATTAAATATTAAAGATTTAAGTACATTCCTTGTGTAATTTGATCGTACGCGTCCCTTCGACGGTTTTAAAATTCACTTCTGATTTATATAACCGATAAGTTATAGAATAAGCACAGGATTGTACCTTATTTCGTAAAAGAACGTCTTTGGTATCTTTTGTAGTGCAAACAAATATCTGAAACAGCGTCTATAAGTTCATATTCGAGGTGAGAAATTACTGCTTTAATATATTGTAGTCTGTAAACGCTTTCTAGTTTATAAACAACGACCTCAAATAATTGAAATACCTCATAGTGTATCGACGGTATCCTGCGCTGGTAAGTCGCTTTATTTAAGATGAACTGTCCGATATGAGAAGGAAATTACTGATTTATTTGAATACATTTTAGCCCCGAACTTAAGCATAATCATGGACATGATACTATATTGTATGATTTCTGAATAATACTATATGTTTCACAACAATCGTTACATAGGCTTGACATTTTAGATAACCTATCTGTATTTGTAAAGCGTTGTTCGGCTCAATATAAAAGTAAAACCCCTTCGAATTTCATCTAAACCCGTATGAAATTCCACTTTGTTGTTATTGAAAACTAAAGGTTTTCTATAACCAGTATTTCGTTGTGATTTTAAATCATCGAGTTTTAGAAAGTTCTAGTTGTTGTTTTGGTTAATTAAAGAGCGGTCATAGTCTCTGTAACCAGAGCTTTACGGCTTAGTTCTTCTTAAAGTTGGGTACAAAAGTCTTGTTGTTTTAATTCTTATGAGATAATACACGGAAACTGGCGAGGAAAGCGAATATTTCAAGAACTTTAGCTCCGGAAATTCAAGTGTGTAGTCATAAAAACATTTCAGAATATATTTCTTGCATTCCAAAATTATTCGTAACCAGAAAACTCCTCCTGTGTGTTGATATATGTTAGTATATTTAAATGGTGTGGTAAATGATGGCATTGTTAAAGCCATATGATTAAATTTTTAATTGCTTTATTTGTAGCCTTGGATCGTGAATCTTGTTTGTTAATATTTGGAGTTTTGAGCTCAATATATTATATATTGTTATGATCTTAAAAAAATGTAATTCCCATGCCAATGCCATGCAATTTAACATGACATCAAATGAACTGCCACAGTTGAGTTGACTACCAGTCTACCACTGCCATTTTATTTGTCAGACATTAGACATAATTCACTGTAGTACTACAAAAAGTAGGTGTGCATTTTGAGCTTACTGGTTAACTAATTCACTGTCAGATATTAATCCTCTTAGTGTGAATGACATGCCTATTCTATTGTTTTACACTGTCTTATGCCAAACAATTTCACACACAAGTGAAAGATGACTGCCAGTAACTTCTGTGATCGCCTTGGGGTTAGAGTTCTGTAAGACACTAAACTAGATCAACCTAGGAAAATATAACCCAAATTATCCAAAACAAATATTTAGTGTTTATTTAGTATCATGCTTTGCTAAAACATTAGACTTAGCAATTCTGTGTCCAGATGCATTTACTGAAGTTGTTAAAAAACTAATGACTGCATTTAAAGTCAGCAGTGGCAAAATTTGTCATGAGCTTGTCATGTCACAAATTCTGCACTGCACCTGGACCTTAATTCAAATTGTCCTTCACATCTTTAATTATTTATTGCAGTTCGACTGACGAGTCATTTGTGTGGAGAGGAGAGAATGGAAGTGTGAAAGGAGATAATTTAAACGAGGGCAGTCAAAACAGTGGTTCTACCTTAGTTGATAATTATTTGTAAGTTATTTTCTTGTTGCATATCAAAAACGTATTTAATTATTTATACCCAAGCTACCTAAAAGTCAATGAGGTGCATTTATTAACCTATGTTGAATATATAATTTTAAAGTGCTCTATTAATGAATAACTAGCTGTTTGGGCTTTAATCTTCTTGAAGTTTGGAGGAAGCGTATCTACTGCTTCTTAGTTTAGTTGAAGTGTTTATTGAAATAATTTAGTTAAAACTAAATAATAATTTATGAACTTAATATTTGAAATTGTTTTTCCACTTTAGGAAGGACTTGGAAAGTGAACTTGATAATAATAGGTATCGATCTTTTGTCATAATACATAAATTGTTATGTGGATATTTGCGTTAAAAACAACAATTTAATCATTCAGGGGCCGGTTGTATCAAGCCCGTTTAGCTTAAACGGTGGTTAAGTTCAAAATAGAAATCAAGTCTATCGTTTTATTCAACAAGCAAACTAAATGTTTTTAACCTTAATACAAAGATACTGTTTACAACTACATATTCAATGCATAAAATTCACGTTGACTCACTCAAGAGAGATGTAGGAGTGTTATTTAATTTTGACTTATCCACCGTTTAAGCTAAACGGGTTTGATACAACCGGCCCCTGGAAGATAGAGAATTTTTATGACTTTATTTTCCTGAAAGCAGTTTCAAATAGTTTATTATTAAAGTGAGACTTTTAAAGTGAATGATTATGCCTTTTTTGCAGCGAATTTGGAAGATTTAACAACCAAATACCCGGCCAAAAGGAAAGCAAAATGAGTACGTTTGAAACAAGGTCTTATTCCCAAGGTATAAAACTATATCTTTGTTTTGAATAATGATAATCTCACTGAATTATCTCACGGCATGCGCAAAAATCTGTAATTCATCCGATCGATTCAAAAATCCAGACATTTTCTAACCAAAACGCAATAGTTCCTTGCTTATGCTTTACCATACAATTCATGTCCATTTCATAATTTTCATTTGTTTTGTCAGATGGCGGTTACACTCAAAGCTCTAGAACAACGACAACCACAACAACACGACAGTATTCATACCGTACAGTAAATGGTGAACGCATCGAAGATGGTGATTTACCGATAGCCAATGGTGACCGTCACGTCCAGAAGTACACCTACACCACACAGAACGGCTACAGTGACAGTAGAGGCTATGGTGGAAATTCCAGGCAAGATTACCCCGATGACGAGTTTAGAGATGTTCCTGGAAGGTTTGTGAAATTTCGTATATTTGGATGCCCAGTTACCCACAAGTTTTGATCCAGAGTTCGTTGTTTCTTGAACGCCGTTTGTTAAAACAATTGAATTCAATAAAACCATAAAACAAGAAAAATATACCTCGAAAACGCAAGCCAAGTTTTCGCGCGTTCGAAATTTTGAACACCAGACACGCGTGGAAATCCCCGAGGGAGAACACGTGCGCGTCTCGCGGGGCTTTGAACGTCTTAGACCTATGAAACAGCATCCCTTGTCATACTTATTTCGATGAATTGGATAACTTTGAAACCAGCCGAAAACGCATTTGAAAACTGCAACTCTTCATATACCGTGCATACTAATTAAAAAGCCTACTTCCGGGCTTTCCAAATACAGTTTCATCTACTTTCTGTATGGAATTTCTCTGTGATTAATGTGTTACGTTTTCTACTCGTTTCTTAAGATACGCCCCAGACTCCAGACAACCACGCGGCAGCCACAGTTCTCAGGGTTCTGCCAGCGACGAAATTTCTCGAAAAACAGCCTCGTACACTGAGTCGGCGCCGACCGACCTCGAGCAGAGATCTGGATCTAGATCGTCGTCACGTTCAAGCACGACGCGCGGTGCGGAGGCTCCCCCCCAGTCTCAAACTCTGCCACGGACATTCGGGCAAAATGAGCCGGGCGATGTCCCGCAACAAGGGTCGTCAACGGTGCCAAGACAACCACCAAAATCTAAAGAAAACAGTAAGTCAAGCTCTTGCATAGATATTGTCCTTAAGTTCTAAACTGTTCTTCCTAGAGGTCCAGAGAAGATCATCTCTTATTGATCCACTGTTACTACAAGAGGAAACTTAAACTAAACTAACTTTATTTATACTGGATAGCTCTATCAGTTCTAAACTGTTCTTCCCAGAGGTCCAGTAAGGATAATCTCTTATTGATCCAGTGTTACTACAGGAGGAAACCTACACTAAACTAACTTGATTTATTTATACTGGATAACTCATCAGTTCTGAACTGTTTCAGTAAGGACATTTTTTATTGATCTATAACTAGTGGTGCTCTAATCAATTAATTTACAACTTAGTGGTCTTGAAGTATTAACGAGATTATTTCTAATTCTAGTCACATACAATTTGAGTATGAAAGTCGGTGATGTTAGAGGTTCAGGTGCCGATGGTAATGTCTACATTCAACTGTTTGGTACCGAAGGCAAGACTGCCAAAATCCAGCTACGACAGGCTGGTGATACGAGAAATAAATTTGAGAAAGGAAAGACGTACAAATTTACAGTTGACACTGTAGATATTGGTCAGGTGCGTTCCCTTCCAAACACCATTGTGCATTTTGTCTTTCATTGGAAAGCAGTTAATGGGCTAATGCCTCTCCCTTTGTTAAAAACAACAAACAACTATAAGGAGAATGCAGAGAAAATATGATACTCTGAGAAAATATTCTATGATTCTATGAGATTCTCCCCCGTAGAACATAGATAGAAAGCTAAACTAATACCTTAGGCCATATCTTCCCTCGAGCCTCGCGTGTCTGGAGGCAACTTCACTCTATTGCATCGTATTTTTGTGTAGCTTGAGCGTATAAAACTAAGTCACGACCACAGAGGATATGGTTCAGGATTCTTTGTCGATGAAGTCGAGGTTGAGGTTCCCTCGAGGAACGACCGAGTTACCTTCCCTTGCCATTGCTGGTTGGCTCAAGATGGCGGAGTCAAGGAGACTGATATGGTGGCCTCACAACCATCTAAACCACCTCAGCCGAGTAAGTTGAGAGCATTAATTGCATATTGACGTTTAACCGAACCAGTCCGCTCAAACGTGTGAAGCCATTGAAATATGACGGCATTATAGAAATAACGAATGCTTCAAATTTACTTTTTAGCGAAAATCTACACCGTTTCAATTCGCGTTGGCGAAGTGGTGAACTCTCAGACAAGTCTTTATATTCAGTTGTTTGGTGAGAACGGAGAAACAAGCAAAATAATGCTGAGGCCAGCAGGGCCTTCTCTCTCGAAATTTGAACCCGGAAGAACTTACAAATTCACTGTCGAGACCGTTGATATTGGAAAGGTAGGGTAGAGTGCTCTCCAATCTAAATTTTAGTATTCTGGCGTTATTATATTGGATTATTCAGTTCTAAACTTGAAGATGATTTGGAATTCCTCCTAGGTTGAGAGATTACGTATGGGTCAAGACAGTAAGACGGGGGGTAAAGGTCTCTATGTTGAGACCATTGAAATAGATCCCGAAGGGGGCGAGAATGTGGTGTTTCCATATCATGGCTGGTCTGAAGACGACGATCTGAAGTCTCAAAGGGATATTTATCCCGAATCAGAGTACTCTGGCGAACCTAAAGCTAGTAAGTGATGGAATTGTATTGGGACCGTTGAATTAAGATAGATGAAAGGCTACCTTAAGTTTATTACAGCTATACCGGCCGTGTTCCAAGATCAAACTCGTTTTAATGCATCGTTCCTTAAACTGATTTTTTAAATTATCAATCCAATGTAGATGTGGACTACCACCTCACAATCCGCACAGGTGATATCGCAGGCGCAGGTACTGATGCACCGGTCTTCATTCAACTGATTGGTGACGATGGCGAGACCGAACGAATTGAACTGAGTCCTGGGGGGACTGGAGACAAGAGGTTCGATCGGGGTAGAACTGATAAGTTTGTGATTGGCACTTTGGACGTCGGGAAGGTGAGCTATGCCATTGAACTCTAACACAACTGGTACGATAAGTTGAGGCAACGTACGTAATATTCAATCTCGTGTGTATTCTCTAATATTGCAGCCTCATACCATCCGTATCGGTCATTTGGGTCGGGATAGTGACTCGAGCTGGTACTTAGATGAAGTAATAGTCGATGTTCCATCTCGTAACGAACATTATCTCTATCCGTGTCATTGCTGGCTAGAAGATGGAAAAACTGAGACTGAACTCTCTGCAGGTATTATCTGCGTTTATATATTCTTTTATGGGGAATCTCCGGTCATGGTAACTTGATTACATCATTTATAGGGGGATGCACATAAATATAGTTTTACTTGCGTCTTGATCTTTCCCGTTTTTTCTGATTTGCTGATTTTTTCTCCATTTGCAGCCAGTGCGTCGCTAGCTGACGGTTCTACTAATGTTTCTGATTTCTTTCTCTATTCGCAGAAGTCTACAAAGTCCCTCTGGGTCCAGGAGCTCCACCGATGGACCAGCCTCCTCTTACCAAGCAACGATCATACGATGACGAAGACAGCGCCCCGCCGCAAAGACCGCCATATAAGGAAGAGGATGTACCCAATCAGAGTCCGCCGTACGTTGATGACGAAGACGTACCAATCGAAAGGCAGCCAATAGTGGAAACTGTTCAGCGAAACGAAAAACCCCAGGATGTCGAAGGGTCGCTACCGGACTCTGATACCCGGAGATCCCCTCCTCGAAGTATATCACCGGAGAATCGACTCCCGTATGAAGAAAGGACCTCTACTAAGGCACCGTTGACTGATGAAGATGACAGTAGAAGCAGTAAGCAAGAAAGTCTTAATATGACTTAGTTGTTGTTTTTTGGGGATTTGTATCAGGGAATGTGGAAACCGGGGATGGGCGAATGTTTTCCGGTGGGTCGTACCTCTCAACCCTCACAAAGTTCTCCTATGCATTATTGTGATTTTTCCCCAATCCTTCTTAGACGTCACATACGAGTTGTGTCTCAAGATGGGAGATGTTCAAGGCACTGGGACCGAGGGTTCGGTTTTCGTTGAATTGATCGGTAGCAAGGGGAAGACTGAGAGAATTGTGTTGAGAGAAGCGAATGACTCCAGAATCAAGTTTGAGAAAGGGAAAAGTTATAAGTTCACCATCGAAACTGCTGATATAGGAATAGTAAGTAGACGTAACAAAGTGGGTTCATACTATCACTTTTATCCGATCAAATAAAAGTTCGTTTCAAAGATTTTGCTTTGTCGACCACCAGACCACGGTATTTTGAAAATTTAACCTTTTCCTTTATTTTATCAGGCGGAGAAAGTCCGCGTCGGCCACGATGCTCATGGCCCTGGTCTGGGATGGTTCCTGGAGGAACTGAGTGTCACGGTACCATCACGTGATGAGCACGTTGTGTTTCCGTGTCATTGTTGGTTAGCCGAGGATCAAGGTGATGGTAAACTGGAACGAGAATTATCCTCAACACAAGGTGAGGATCACGTGATCAATGCATTTTAAGGATCACGTGTCTTGAAGTGTAAACCCTTTTGAAAATAATATACTACAAATCTATTAGCGCACTTGGTGTAGAAAAATACTCAACTATGCTCTTACGTATTTTCTCATTGAAATTTCAGCGACATACCATCTTGCCTTGGCTACTGGTGATGTTCCTAACGGAGGAACCGAAGCGGTGCCTTACATCCAGATATTTGGTGAGAGAGGTGACACCGGCGTGATCGAATTACGAAAAGAAGCTAACTCTGGTTTTGTTCGAGGGAAAACTGACTTCTTCAACGTGGATGCCGTTGACGTGGGAAAGGTAATGAAATTTTAGGGAATATACACGTTTGGGTGATCCTGTAAGCATTGTCATGCTCTGATAGAATTAAACGATGTTAACGTCATCGAAAAATTGAAGTGTGGACAGAATAGGAAAACACAGCATTGTACTGTCGCTTGGATGATAGAAACCTTTTCCAGGAGATCTTTTTGTAGAATATAAAAGCAAAAATATTCCGAATTTAAACATCTTGTAAACCCAAAGAATTCAGCCGTTAAAAAGTATCATATTTTGAATATTTAACACCTGATATTTTATTTCTTCTAAAGATTGAAAAGATTCGCGTTGGTCATGATGGCCAGGGTTACGATGGTGGATGGTTCCTCGAGGAAGTTGTCTTAGACTGCCCCCAACACGGAGAACATTTGATCTTCCCCGCCCACTGTTGGTTGTCCGATGTAGAAACTGATCGACAGACAGAACGGGAGTTTACTCCTGAGCAAGGTAACCATGCAAACGAGAAAACCTTTGAGGTCTTACAAACAGCACTGAATTTAGCTTGAAACCAGCTTTTTTGGATATCTATCGACCAAACAGTACACTTTTTCATTTTTATTACAGTCGCTCCTTACAAAGTATTTATCAGAACCGGCTCGCGACAAGGGGCCGGAACGGACGCTAGTGTATACATGCAGATATTTGGAGATCAAGGGGACACTGGAATCATTGATCTTAAACAAATCATGTTATCCACCTCGGGACAGTTCGTCGCCGACCACGAATGCAAATTCGACATGGAGACCGTCGATGTTGGAATGGTATGTTTGTACGGAACTTGACTAACAATGTCCGTTCAACTACATGCATACAAAAATCTGTTCACCAAGTTTTGGAAGTGTTTTTGATTGAGTAAAATTGATTTGTTTTATAGCTTGAGAAAGTACGTATTGGTCACGATAACAGCGGCCGCGACCCTTCGTGGTACTTAGATGAAGTAATGGTCATTCTTCGCGACGAGTGCTGGGTCTTGCCGTGCCATGATTGGCTGGATGAAAACAGGGGGGACACGGAACGCATGCTGTTCCCTGAGACCAAGACGTTCGCACAGGAGCCCGACCTCGAAGACCTCATCGCGTACTTGGGTAGCAACGATGTCGTTCTGATTGTAAACGCCGAAGCTTACCTGCAACATCTGTTCTACAAAGACGATGGAATTAAAACCAAATTTAGGTAAGAGCCAGTTTGCAGCATTCTGATTGTTTTCAGCGTAAAAATGCTCCTATACTGACCGATAATATATCGGTATTATATATATAATATATCGGATATTTATATTTTTTTGTCAAACCAAAATTAATTGATGGTGGCTTGAAAATACGTCTGAAGGAAGTTAGAAACTTTTGTGAGCGTTTTCACTTTCCCCATGCTGGGAAAATAAATTTCGCAAGTCCATCGATCAATCCCCTAGTGTACTTGATTTCCAACAGGGACAATTCTTCAGTGATTTTCACTAATAATTGGTTAACTTTGAAATCTACGTTTCTTTGTAGGGCTTTGAATGGTATCCCACCCCTGATCCGATTGCTGGATAGCAGGAACGAAGATATACACAGAGGGGCGGCAGGGACATTGAGGAACTTATCTTTCAGCAAGGAAAACGATGAGAATAAGGTAAACTACATACTATTGTCATGAAGACTAAACTACTAATGTACACGTATCTGCAAGCACTATCGTATGAATTTTCACTGCCATATTTTGTAGGTTCACATTTGCCGTTGCGATGGTGTGAAAGCTATGATGAGATTACTTCAGCGAACTGACAGAGTCGAGGTAAGACTTTTTATTAGTAGGACTAAGGGTTAGGAGTTTTGGTTTAAGTCTGTGAAGTTTATATTTAAGGCGTGCATGGTTGTTAAGATTGAAGTTATGATTTGGATTAGTCCTTCTTCCAAACTGTAACTGACTCTATTAGCTTCTTTTTATGTTTCCAGCTCAAAGAATTGTTGCTGTCGATCATTTGGAACTTGTCATCTTGTGAGGTATGTAATGATATAATGATATTGCCATTCTCGAGCGATGAGCGCTTATATATTTTACTTTTTCGTATATTTCTTTCTTTTTTAATCGTTTCAAGGAATTTTCTTGCTTCGATTAAGGATAAGCCATAATAATTACAGTTTCTTATCTTACTATAAACAGATCATTCAAGCATGCATTATATATTTCCCTGACAATATAAATAGCTCATATTTTCTTTTTTACCAGGAAATCAAGAGACATATTTTAGAAGAATGTTTAGTCCTAGTTGTAACAACGTTTGTTATTCCCGATTCCGGATGGGACAAGCGTGATATAGAGCCGGTCCGATGGACCCTTTGTTTCAGAAACGCCACTGGTGAGTATGATTTTACGTGATTCTTGAGAGTTGGTTGGATGTATTAGGAGTGAAGAGTAAACGGAGTAAAACTAAACTCTGACTGTGCTGTTTTTCTTGTTAAAGGTATCCTAAGAAATCTCTCGTCAGCTGGCCTGGAGGCGAGAAAGAAAATGCGTGATGTTGTTGGTTTAATCGATGCTATGTTGTATGTCATTAGACTTTCTCTTGGAAAGCCGGGCGTGGACGCAAAGGTGAGACATTCGTTTGTCACTAATTTCGTATCGGTGTTTCCACTTTGGTTATTGTAGGTTTCATCATTCCTTTCTTTTTTAGACTGTAGAAAACTGTGTTTGCATATTACGTAATCTCTCGTACCGTCTCGAAGAGGAAGTTGACCGCAATAAGTACCTAGATACAGACTTGGACCCAGATCGCCCGGACAGGACCATATATGGTGGTCCGGACAAAACCACCGCAGGTTGCTTCAGCAAAAAGTCGAAGAAGAAGGGTCAGGGTGATCGCGCGCCTATCGAGCGTGAAGGGCCACATGCCAAAGAAGGCGTGGCGTTGCTGTGGCAACCGGAAACATTGAGTCCGCTGCTCACCGTGCTTGCGGACTCGACTATCGCAGAGACGCTTGAAGCAGCCACTGGCATGATTCATAATTTAACTGCGTGCTCATGGAGGGTAAGTGTGTGTTTACATGAATTCTGTTTGAACATTTTGTAACCGTTTTTTATTTATTTCTATTCTAGTGGTCAGCGTTATTACGTTCTACACTCCGACGTGAGAAAGGTCTTCCGATCTTAGTTGAACTGCTCCGAGTCGATGACGACAGTGTTATTCGGGCGGATGCGACAGCACTTCGGAATCTGGCGCTCGACACAAGAAATAAAGTTGTTATTGGTACGTTTGTAATCTTGTTGGACTTTCAGTTTTTACACAAAAATATATTCTGCCTGCATCTTAATAAAAACTGCCTTGATTGAACATGTCTTCAAAAGTACGACAGCAAACGCCTTAAACCCTGAATAAAACCCTGCTGCATTTCCTGCTGCTTTTGAGACGTCTTCCCCCTCTGACACTGTATCACTCTGCAAAACTGAATGATGAAATCTTCTTTAATTCCAGGTAAATACGCGATGAAAGATCTTGTGTACAGACTTCCACCAGGCGAAGGAAGTCAGGGTGTTACAGAGCCCACCTATGGTGCTATTATCTGTACCATACATCAACTGGTTGACCAAGATTCACAGAATGCCAAGTATGTCTCTTTCACTTTCCCGTATAGGCCGGTTTGGCTAATTATGAACCATATTTCTCACCACTAGGCCGGGCACTCTTACAAAATTCCTTTCTTTGGTAAAATTGATCTCAGTCTAAACAAACTCTGTGTGTATCTGTGGAGATTGCGCTGGATGTTCATTAATCCATCGGTTCTTACCTCTTTTTTTTTAAAGGGCCGTACGTGATGTTGGCGGGGTTGTAAAACTCGTCAAAATCGCCAAGGGCAACTTCAATCCGAAAGTCATCAAAACAGCCAATCAGGTAAACCTATTTCTTGTTTTCCAAAATATATTTTACTCGGTTCAATCATGTGCTAGGTGCCAGTCTGATTTAAAATATCTACATTTTTTCAGAGAGTGGTATATTAAAACTACCGTTTTGTGGTTGTAGGTTCTGATCTCAATGTGGAACTTCAAAGAAACACGAACTGCCATCGACAAGGCTGGCTGGCAGTACACAAAGAACGTTGCAGACGAGTATGGACAAGCCCCTCGTCCCAAAGCCTACGACGATGTTTCATTACCCCGTAGTGCTCACAAGTCGTATAACAACCAACCCCGTTATCCCCCACCGACTACAAATACCCCTAGGGAACCCGACGACACTCGTGAACTCGAGAAGCGCGGTTACGCAATACCCAATACCGGCATCGACACTTCCCGGTCGTCACCAGGCCCTGCTAGAGCTTCTCCTAAACCTTCTCCTAAAGCTTCTCCTAAACCTTCTAGAGACGAGCCTTCCTCCCCCCATCTTTCGGATCTTCACGCACCCCCGGAATATGCGAAAGTGAATAAAAATCGTAAGAAAGCCCCGGAGGGGGAGGGAAAAGACGAAGCTGATTCGTGGGTCTGAAAATAACTGGTCTACTGTAAAACTTATTAAGAAAATCAATCTCCTAAATTTGATGTCAAATCTCACCAAAAACTGGTGTAATTTCTGTGAATTGAAAATTTGGCGCAATTTTCTCAGAATTTGAAAATGCGACTGGACATTTTGAGTATTGCATGGTAGCTACAAAATGATACTTTAACTTTGTTTATTTAATTAAACGCCTTACTCGAATATACACTCGCTTAAAATGAAAAGCTATGCTACCACTAAGCTTTAAAAACTTGATATTGGACAACTCTTCCTTAATTGTCTGACTTTAAAAACCCTGACTTGAAAACTGTGTTTTTGGTTGATAAATCAATGCCACCGATGTTTATTTGAGTGAACACGGTATCGATCAGTTCCATGTCAAAACATATTCATTTTGTAAGAATTTTTTCACGTAGATTTCGTTCATGCATAGCATAGTAAAGTAAGTCATTAGTTTCGATAGCTCGTGGCATTAAATTCACATATATATTTAGCTGTACTTATTTCATTTTACTATATATAAAAATATATAATTGTGCTAGTGTATTCTTGGGGACAGGAACTCAGGGAGGTTGGCCATTTTGCCTGGCCTCAATATAAGACAGAATTTGCCAGTAGCGTTTAAAAAGTAGAACAATGTGAATGACAATGTAATTATGTTTGCTAGCGTTTATCAATTCCTATTTTTGCTGTTAACTGAAGTAAATAATTTTAATATAATAACTACTGAGAAACTTTATTATAAAATAACCAGTAAAAACTTTGTGTTCTGCTTTGCTAAAATCTGTCCCGAGTCAATATCTATGATCGGTCTAATAATCAATAACTAGGATCAGTCTAATAATCATGGTACAAGATTTCACATGATTCTAATAATGGTACATGACTCTTACATGATTCTAATAATCATGATAATAATCCATATTATCATTCACTTTATAGTATTCTCAATTTTGATTGGTTAATTTACCTGCAGTTAACTGCGTGCAAATAATACTCAGCTGCAAATAATACTCTGAGCATGCGCATTAATGTCAATTTTATAAACAATGGCGACTCGCTTTGCCGAACTGTCCGATAAAACGAACTCAAAATTGAAAATTGAGTGGTGAATGAATTGAAAATTAAGTGGTGAATGATAAAACAATTATTGAACTCGGTTCTCGCAAAATATCGTGATTTGTCGGTGGCTCGCAGATCAATTATTTGCCTCTGCCTTCGGCATCGGCAAATAATTGATCTGCTCGCCACCGACAAATCACGATATTTTGCTCGACCTCGTCCAATAATTGATAATTATTTGTTTTTGATTTTTGATCACATGGCATTAAATAAAAATGTCTAGATAAATTTAACGAACTGTCTAGCCGTGCAAATAGTTTTTTCTATGACTATGGCGATTTGATCTTTTTTGGTGTCATATAAAACAAATAATAAATCATCAATTCATTATTAATCATGATTCATGATTCTACTACAGTTCAGTGGATTCTACTTCTAGGCTGTTGCCAAGGTTACAAAAGTTTGGTATTTGCGACAAAGAGACTGGTTCGGAATTTTTAAAAACAAATATGGCCGTCGTTCGGAGGCAAATTTTAGTCTTAATTCAACTTTTTATAGTGTTTTCAGCCGACGGACAAACAAACCAGAGTCTTACAGATACTGGAAGTAGTTCAGGTGTGTATTGACCGTTTTACTCGGCGATGTTTTGCATTATGGAAAGTTTGAAAACGTTTAAAATTCTTAAAATTAGCATGGCGGTTTGATGAATGAATTGAGGTTTTCCTTTGGGGGATGTCAATCAGTATACTGTGAAGCATTATTTCTGATCTTGCTTAAAAGCAAACACTTATTGCACACAATCAATCAAGCCAAAAAGCCACATAATTCTCCGACCAGTATGAGTCGTGAATATTTGTAAATTGAGTCGACATTGAAATTGAACAAGAAATAAAACACGAGTTTCCCTACTCTCAGGCTGTATTTGTGACCTGGTTGTGAATGGCTGCGATCCAAATTGCTGTTGTGATGCTGACTGCTCTGCTACAGATAAAGAAGCATTTATCGAATGTGCAGAATCCAAGAATGTTATGTATGTAGACTGTAGTACATTTTCTTGATAATAATGCACGTATACACCACAACTTTGTGTACATGATTAATTTCTTTAAATGAATGCTAATGATTTTGATCTCTGACTTGGTTGTCCTCCAGCAAGTTTACTTTTTGCAACCAAATGACAGACATTTTCTCCCAAAATATTAAGATAGTTTGTCAATTTTTCCATTAGTTCTGATGACCGGATTTGTGTTTCGGATCAAATGATTTTCATCAAAAATGTTCCGTTTGCCACAAAGAACACAGGAGATGGATTGTTCTGTATTTATCACAATAACAGTATGTTATCCAATATATTGTTCACCACATGAAGTACTATATTGGTATTTCATGCTAGCTTTGTCTTTTAGGTCCTAATACTGTCAGGGTAGTTGGGGTGAACAGGAAATGGTTCTGTTGAAAAGCAACATTTCTCTACCACAACTGTTTGATTTACTTATTCAGACAAAGACCAAGAACAATATTCCGATGTCAATGTTGTTACAAATAATGAAGATTTTATACAAAGTGTAAATGCCAGAAACTTTTATTCCTATGAGAAGGACAATACTGATGGTGATAGTGTTGTCAATGAGCATTATAAGGTAAAACTGCAGGTTTCAATTTGCTGAAGTGATATTTGCATATATTCTTTACTATGACTACTTACAATGACAGCCAAGACATCTAAAAGCATTAGAAGAATGTTTACGCATGCGTACGATAATATATTGTATGCTGTCTATGGTTTGTAAAAAATAGTTTAGACATGCTCCACCACAATTGCGGTCGTACCTTGGTTGAAATCATTTCAAACAAGGTAATTAGATTCTGCAATAGTTTGCATCTAATGGTTTGCATCTCCTGCTAGGTAATGTGATCTAACTTTAGCTGATGTTCTGATGCTCTTTAGGTTGGGGACAAAATAATTCTTGTGCTCGCAAATCAGGTTAAGGGATATCTAGCACTTCCAACTACATTTGAATCTTCAAGTTGTAATGACAACAACGCTGCAGGTACATTTATACAATTCCATAATTTTTTCATTAGACAATGCCTTGATAAGCATTTTGGGCAACGCACATATAGATCAGTGGAAATTATTGCAGTTGTATGATAAGTACACATATAAATCAGTGAGGATTGTGAGAGATATCTAGTTGCAAGAACTATTAAAGGTTTTGCATTCAGTGTACATATAGATCAGCAGAAATAGCGAAAGCTACATTATGATGAAAAGATTTTGCATTCAGTGCGGTCATAGATCGGTAGTATCTCGCCCTGAATACATATTAAAGCGCCTAGGAACGAGACCGTTAAATAGCTACAGTGGGCAACGTCGAAGATGATTAAAAGGCAATGTTTGTTAGCTAGTTTAACTACAATCATTGACAAAAATGTTGTGACGAGCCGCGCGTTACGCCACAAAATTTATCCATAACCCCCCTTACCCCCCAAGTCAATGTTGCCTGGATGAAAATGCTAGAATATATCGCGGGCAACATGCGCTATAAGGCTTCAACATAACAATTCAACATTGATTTGGGGGAAGGGGGGTTATTTGATCGACAGTACTGTCGGTAAAGTTATTTCATGTAAATTACAAGCATTTTTGTTGAACGTTACAGCGAAATTTGTCAATGATTGTAGTAATAATATAGAAATTCCCTAGATAGATGCCTGTGATGTAATAAGCTATAGGTGAACCTTGTTTCCTCAAATTCCAGGCTACTTTCAGGATGACCTGACTGAATGTGTGAGAAGTTTCTCAAAACTATCTTCGCAGTGTTCTGAAATGACCACATTATCGGCTGCTAGTTACTACAGAAATTTTCAAGTTGCAATGGTATGTCGTGACCCATAATGGTGTTAATTATTCTGACGGTTGTTCAACAAAGCGTTGTGTACGGACTGTTTACCACGTAAGTTTAACATTTTCAATCACATTTCTAGACGCCGAAAGCGATCACTTTGCCGGATCTTAATACAACTTCCAACTCCAGTGCAATACGTGAAATTTACAACACATCGTTGTTTTTCACACCTGAGTTGTCGTCTTTACTGTGCCGTGAAGATACTGGAGTGTTGAATCAATGTGGTTTTACTGTCCCTCCTGTGCCGTTGTACAACGTGACCACAAAATCTTGTGAGAATGTTGTGACAGAGGTAAGCCTGTTCTTGTGTAATTCCTTGGCCTTTGTTGTCTTATGGTATATTAATTGAAGAAAGGAAATTGTATTGTGCATGATAGGGTGTAATGGTGTATATGCATGGTATGCTCCATAGAATATGGTATGGTCCATGGTATAGTTTATGGAATATGGTATGGCGTATGGAAAGTGCATGGAATGGTGTGTGCATGGTAGTAGTTTGGTTGTCTATCATATATATTAATATGATCTGTAACGGCCGCAGCGCAAGCTCTATATGAACGACGACGATTTGCTTACGTCACGACACGTTGTAAAGTTCGAAGACGTAAGCAAATCGTCGTCGTTCATATAGAGCTTGCGCTGCGGCCGTTACAGTAAAATAACAGTCCCGCTTTGTCGAGGCGAACGATGCACAAACCGAGATGTTCGAACAGTTGGTTATGTGCATTCGTTGAGAAAACTTGTAAATAAAAGTTTCGAACAAGTTTTCGTAACCCATCCAGCTGTTCGAACATCTCGGTTTGTGCATCGTTCGCCTCGACAAAGCGGGACTGTTATTTTACTGTAACGGCCGCAGCGCAAGCTCTATATGAACGACGACGATTTGCTTACGTCACGACACGTTGTAAAGTTCGAAGAAACAAAACGCAGGGATATAATTTACAGGCAACAATTTAATAGTCTTGACCAAATAACAATGCTAACTCGAGATTCATTAACGATGTCGATTAAGGTTGTCGAAAGGACGAATTGTCAGAATTGTCGAAAGGGTCGAGATCTCAGAATTGTCGCCTGTAAATTATATCCCTGCGTTTTGTTTCTTCGAACTTTACAACGTGTCGTGACGTAAGCAAATCGTCGTCGTTCATATAGAGCTTGCGCTGCGGCCGTTACATGATCCGTGGTATGGTGCATTGATATGTGTGGTATTGTGATAATTTGTATGATATAGCGTATTGGTATTGTACTGGTAATGGTGTGTCCACCATTGCTCAACAGACAGTAAGCCGGTTCATGTAATTTTGGTTTTCACTCCGTTTTGGCTATTTTCTTTCTAGGTCTCTTACACATTTACTTACTCCAATGAAAGTTCAAACTTGGAGCGGCTAAAAGTCGCATTTGTTCTTGCAAATATTCGGGAAAATTTCGTGCAAAAATTTTCTATCAAATTTCTAAAGGTAATGAATAGAGAGCTAAGAACGGTTTTGATTTCATATAAGTTAAGACTTAAGAGTTAAGTGTGGTTGAGAGCTTTATACAACCGGCCTGCTAACCACGATGGTTTGGTGTAATGCTGTATTTTGTTTCGTTTTAAGGAAGGAAAACAAGAGACCTTTAGAAAGTCTGGAAATCCTGGTTATTTGGTGGATCAGCCAGTAATGGCGGGCCTTCTCCAAACGCAGTCCGCAACTGATAAGTATGTCCCATCTGTGAGGCAGTATTTTGTATATTTTACTAAATTTACGATGTTCTTTTTCCAGCCAACTGATTAATTTCCTTTTTTCAAATTTGTATCTAATATGCACTCGACCTATTGCATAAATTTGTTGTATTGCTCGTTTTTAATTAACCACACCCAGGAAGGCAATTATTCTGAGCACAAACTCCAAAGAATGGCTGACACTTCCAAAGGCATCGCTTGATGGGTCTTGTAGCTACGGAGTTAACGATAGATTATCAGTGACGTTTAATATGAACGTTAGATCTGGTTGCCTCATAAGGTGAGCGTGGTGGTTTAATGTTCATCCAATCAAGATGTGTCCCACTTTGATATTTTACTCCGTCCAATGACAGGTCATTTATCCTTATCCATGAAAGGTAGCCAGAGTGATGCCAGCCAATTATTGTTCAGTGTACTGTTTTCAACTATTTAAGGCTCGACCAATCCCGTTCGCGCGTTTATTTGGTTTAACCAATCATATTCAACTTTGATTTAGGCTCAACCAATCGTCGGACTGTTCCTACCTTCAGGACATCGTCTACCAAGCGCTACTTGGCATCAATCCTCCAGACTATGTTGCCACTTTTGGAAATTCAGATGTCAAGATTGTGGCTGACTGGGTGAAAATTATCAATAAGCCCACGAATTCGGTAAGAGAAGATCGCGTATTTTACAAAATGTAGAGAGAGCCTATATAGGAATTAGGTAATGATATAGCGTATTTTGACTGAGGATGTTTAGACTAAAGTAACTTTGTAATTTGGTGGATAGTTGTAAACTGTTCTTCCTCGATGTTCACTAAGGATAATCTTAAACTAACTTCATTATTTCGACACATGTAATATTTGGCTGGAGCATTTTTTCTTGCCATTTTCAGCCCAGTGGCGGTGATGGTGTGTGCTCGGGTATGGTACTTGGCATGCATATTGAAATTTTGTTTGCAAACGTTGGTTATTTGGCCAACCCTCAAGCTAAGGTATGCAGCATGATTTGTTGTTCCTTATTATATAACTTGTCGTCCTTTATTATATAATTTATCGTCCTTTATTATATAACTTGTCGTCCCTTATTATATAACTTGTCATCCCTTATTATATAACTTGTCCTCCCTTATTTGTTGTCCCTTATTGTATAACTTGTCGTCCCTTATTATATAACTTGTTGTCCCTTATTATATAACTTGTTGTTCCTTTTTATATAACTTGTCGTCCCTTATTATATAACTTGTTGTCCCCTATTATATAACTTGTCGTCCCTTACTATATAACTTGTCGTCCCTTATTATATAACTTGTCGTCCCTTATTATATAACTTGTCGTCCCTTATTATATAACTTGTCGTCCCTTATTATATAACTTGTCGTCCCTTATTATATAACTTGTCGTCCCTTATTATATAACCTGCTGTCCCTTATTATATAAATTGTCGTCCCTTATTATATAACTTGTCGTCCCTTATTATATAATTTGTCGTCCCTTATTATATAACTTGTCGTCCCTTATTATATAACTTGTCGTCCCTTATTATATAACTTGTCATCCCTTACCATAACTCGTTGTCATCACTACAAACCTGTAACCCCCCACTATAGCTTGTTGTCCCTCACTATCGCTAGCTGTCTCTTGATTCTTATATCGGTATACGAAGTCCCTATTTTTTAAATGTACTAGATAAGATATGTGTCATGTCTTAACAGATTGTCGGTGTCCGTTTCAAGTATGAACCCGCTCAAACAATAACATACCAGGTGCGTGCGCCCCTTGACCATTAATTAAAGAAGATTTTTCACCAACCATATTTTCTTATTCTAAAATCCACAAGTTCTGATTTGCCTCACATGTAAAACGCTATCAGTCGTAAACTGTCCTGCACATCTGCTTAGAAAGAAATCTTGTACAAAATTTAACGCCTCTTTCAAATTGTTACATCAACTGCAAGAACATTTTTGACCTGGGCCTGGTCAAGCAGTCGAGGAACCCATTTGGCTTCTTGTTTGTTTGAAGAAGCGCTCACGATGTCACCTTTTCCTTGGCGTGTAACTACTTTTTATTCGCACAAGTTCTTAAAAATTATTTTGAAGGTTTTTGTGTGGATTTATCGATGTTTTTCCTTATAGTGTACTGGTCAATTCTGCTCAGGCGGTGGTTCGTCCAGTAACTCTATTGAGGTCGTCTCATCCGCGTCATTCATCGACGTGTCGAAGCCGCCAATATCTGATCAAAAATCTCTACCGGAATTTCAGTCCAAAGCACCTTCGGATTTCTTTCATCCGTTTCTCTGATGTGAAGTTGGAATCACGTGAGTTGCATGCGAAAGCCGATTCACTATGTGGTTGTGCATTTTGTTTTCGGTAAATTCGATTGGATAACGTACAGGTGTTGACGTGAAAATTATTCAACGTCCATCATGGATTCTACGAAACCGATTGACGTGACGTATGGATTAGCTTTCCCGTCACGTGATGAGTTGGTGAGAGAGCAAGCTACCCGTTTCGTGGCATTCTGCTCTTTGAGTTAGAGAAAACACGGCGCACGTAGTAACTTATCACGTGGACCAGATCGCTAACCGCGTGAAGGACTTGTTCTTAGCTCCCTTCAGTTCTTAATAAAGGAGTAAGGAATGTACAGTGAAATATATTGACACAAAGCGCTATCTAAACACATGATCTGTGGGTAGAAAGTTAGGTGTATAATAAAAGTTTAAGGTTCCGCGACACACCATTTTTCTTACATAGTTCTAACATTACATTAAACAGCTGACGCATGTTAAAATATCTAAAAGTCCTCTACTTTTCTTGAGCTGTTGTCGGTTCAACAGGGGTATTAAATGTGTTCAAAGTTGCTTCACTTCGCCTTGCTGTGATCGGCATTTGCAATGAAGATGGTCAGAGCAATTTGCATCAAGTCATAAATGACCAGAATCGTCCCCAGGCCAACTGGTATTTGAGAGGAGAAACACAGCGCAAGGAATACTGGGATATTGCAGGCCAGACGATGGAACACTGAAACAATTGGGTACGAATCATTTTGTGAGCCCGCGGCGAATACTTGAAAGAAGGCAATGATGCTGCGAATAACAAAAAAGGCGCGAAACAAGCCTTCTGCGTGACGTCCCACGACAGCACTTGGCGCAATACCGCTGGCCAGTAGGATCGAGGGAGCTACGAAATCCAAAGCGGCTTGGGCATAGCCGAGAAGCAGAAAGCTCTGGTACTGAGGTGGTCTTTGCGAAAACGGGTTTATTGTGGACCAAAGGTCTTGAAAGAATTTGGACAAAGATGCGTCGGTGTTCTCTCGCGACCATATCACGTAGATTATTACAGCAAGTGTGCTATCCAAGGCGCTCATCATGCCTGCAAATCGGGCGTTGAGTATTCCTTCAGTGTAGAACTTCAAGGCGTATACATTGACTAGCACGAGGCGGTTAAAAACAGTCCCAAGGATCGGTCCTGCGTTTGGCTCTTGACTGCCTTTATTCCTTGCTAAAACAATCATACACAATCCTATGTCGAACAGGCCCAATGCAACGAGAATGAAAAATCCTCTTCCTCCGGCGCCAAAATCCAATCGCAGCACGATGTTCCAGAGGTCTGGTGCGAGCGCCATTATCAGCCCCGTGATCATGTACGCCACGAGGGCAGAAAGGTATGTGAAGCGTTGCGTACAAGTCAGCGGCAACTCAAGTGGGATAGACAACATCTTTTTCAGGAGATGCATCATTGCATGAAGTTGAATGTCTAAAGTAGGGGTTGTACATACAATTTTGAATCTATTTATTTTTGAAATTATATTTAGTCCTAATTACTGTGATTTGACTGGTTTGTCAGATGAATTCAATAGAATATAGCTTCATACACATTAAAGGTTGCAAAGCTAAGGTTATTATGTATTTAAGTGTTGCAAACAAATGAAATATTTGATATTTCGATCAAACAATAGCGCAGCTTGTAACAAGTCTTGTGGAAGATATATCATATATACGTCCCCTTTAGCCCTATCGTCCCTATCAGTTGAACAGATTCAGTTCACAAATGCGCTGCTGACCCTCGCAGTTCTATATACAAGGTTATTGTTGACGTCCTTCCTAAAATCAACTAGGAAGCATTTGAGCGGTTGCAAGTCCTGACTATTGGTGGCCCAGCAGTGCTTACTCTCGTAGTTACGTGACCATCCACGAAGACTACACTGCTTCTGCATGATTAGGTCAAACATGTTTATATAATTTCTATTTGAATGTTTATTTTCATCAACAAACTTCGCCTCTGCTATCAATATTAAACCGTATGAGAGTTCTTATAAATCCTTGTCAAGGTTGTAGCTTGGTCAACACTTTAGTCCTATTATAATTGCAAGTTAGCTGCAAATCATAGACAAGTATTGACTCACCTTGAGCACGTTGTAATCTTTACAAAGGTAAACGTTGCACTAAATATCGTTGTCTTTATTAAATACGTTGTCTTTATTATAAGTCCGACGACGTCTCACTCAGTCTCAGTTCAATAAACACGGCGATAGTGCATCTTTTTTTTTATAAATATTTTCGCTTTTTTTTCTTCCTCTGAAATCTGATTGGCTGCAGATGTAACCCAATAATGGCAAAACATCGTCATCTTCCGTCTACGCGTGTTCATGGTAGAAAACACGGGTAATGGATAACCGGATAGCGGGATAACCGGATAAAAATAACAGGAAGTTCAATTTCTATAACTAGAATATCTATTTACATTTTTGAATCTAGATGTCTTTCAGTTTTTGTAGAAGTCTTCAATGCATTTATGTTCGTTTTCAATTTGAGTTTCAGATGCCAGTGGGTTTCCAAACAATGTTTATCAATTACCCCCTGGTATACACTAATTGCTGCCACGCACCAGCGTGGCAGCACACTATTCTTAACGTACTCGGCCCATTCTTACGCGCGACCTATATATTGTCGAAATCTCGATTTGTGTCCGTTAACATTTCGGGGGGGGGTTTTTACGGAACGTGGGGGAGCGACTGTCCAAGCAAGATTTTGTGCCCGTATGTTTCATTCCATGTATGTGCTTATTCCAAGTTGGAAGTCTGAATAGTAGAAAATATTTAAGAAACTGATTGAAAATAAAGTGAAAAAAACGATATGGCCAATTTACATATTGCTGGTAATTTTCATCAAGGCAGTGAACATTTTAGTGTTCAATCTAGAGGTAAGCAATGTGCTTTTATGAGTTTATCGGCAGTTTTAACAGCCGAAAATATCCCAATTTTAGATTGGTCTATAATAACTTTAAATAATGTCTTATTGCAAGGTGACAAAATGTATTTAAAAGCTCTGAATAGTGGCTTAATTGTTCTAGACCCAGGTATCGAATTTTTGTCTGTTGATAACTTACCAAAAGTTGTTAGTGTTTCATGTTGTGGGAGCATGTTTTCGTATGAAATCGAACTGCCCATGGTGGTAGCAGAAGATATTAATTTACCCATTGTGGTGGAGCCATTTGAGGCACACAATAACAATCAACTACCTATGAGGGTAGAACACAATAAACTACCCATGGTGGTAGAAAACACTAAGCTACCCGTGGTGGTAGAACACAATAAACTACCCATTGTGGTAGAAAACACTGACCTACCCATGGTGGTAGAAAAAAATGAACTACCCATTGTGGTAGAAAACACTGATCTACCCGTGGTGGTAGAATCTATGGATAAAAACCTTATTTGGTTTATAAATTATGAACAGGAGCTTCAGGGTCTTGTAATAACTGACAATGTTGAGTCTCACTACTATACTATTCATTCAGCACTTTTGAATACATTCATGGGTCATAGTTCTGCTATTTTCATATTAGAAGGCTATATGATGGCAATAATAAAACAATCAAATTTTTTCTATATATTTGATTCTCATGCCAGAGACAGAAATGGCATGCCCGATCCTAATGGCACTGCAGTTGTCATAAAGTTTGCTAATGTTCTAGATTTGGAACAATTTTTGTATTCTCTTTCGACAAAACTACATGTCAATTTATTTGAAATAGTACCTGTGTATGTAACAAAAACTAATGTAAGCCCAAGCAATGCTGATGATTGTAGAAAAAGAAAACAGTCAAAAGAAATCAGGCTCAAAAAAGTGAGTGAGTCTATAAAAAGAAGGCGGTCAGAGGAAACTGACAGTGCTAAACAGATCAGACTTGAGAAGGAGAGACAATCTAAAAAACAAAAGCGTGCAAAAAAAGTGTCACAGCCTGCACATGAAATTAATCAACAAGATTATTTAAATATGTTTGACGCCACAAAGAATGGTGGTATTGAAGAGCAGTTGTGGGCTAAATCTAATCTGAGCAAGTTTCATAAGTCTCTGCAATATACTGTCAGTCAATGTACAATTTGTCAGGAGGCATGGCCCCTGAAATCTAAACCAAGGTCACCTTATGTGTGTTCAAGATGCTCCAGAGATAAAAAGTATCCTAGAAAATTTTCATCTGAAAATTCCATGATACCTTCATCTGTCCCAGATGAACTGAGAGACTTGACTCAAGTTGAGGAAATGTTAATTGCTCGTGCTTTGCCAATCATGAGAGTGTATATCAAACCTGGTGGTCAACGAGGGTATTCAGGGCATTGTATTAACTTGCCTCAAAATGTCACAGAACTTGCAAAATCTTTGCCAAGATATCCTAAGGATTTGGCAGTAATTATTGTCAAAGTTAAAGGAAAGGACAACACATTTAAAGATGTCAGAGTAAGAAAACAAAAAGTCTACAATGCTTTAGTTTGGCTAAAGAATAATAATCTACATTATTCTGAAATATTAATTAATGATCATGCATTGCATTCATTGCCTGAAAATGGTGTACCACCAGAGCTTATGACTGTTGAGACTAATGATGATATTGTCTCAGATGAGGAATTTTCTCTAGATATGGGTCCCCCAACTGATAATCCTTCTGAGGATATTGTTTACAATGAGTCGACAGAGATGAGTAGTTTTTTACCTGTTGGTGAACAACAACAACAGGAAATTGAAGCTGTTAGAAATAAGCTCTGTGAAAATGAGCCAATGTCCTGGCCTACAGTTGAAAATGAACCAATAAATGAGTATCAGGTGTCTCATTTAGCTACAATGGCTTTCCCAACATTATTTCCCGATGGAAAAGGTGATTGTACAAATCAAGAACTTTTGAGAGATGTTTCTTTTCAGGAACGAGTAAAGCACCTTTTAAAGTTTGCTGAAATTATTGATGGTAAATGGGTATACCGTTTTGCAAACCATCCCAGATTTTCATATTGGGTTTTCAATATGATTCAAAGAAAACGAATATTGCAGCAAAGTGGAATATTCCTAAAACAAAATCCAGGTGAAGCACATCTCACCATAGACGAATTGCGCGAAATGGCTGCCAGTAACAGTGCTAATGTTTTCATGTCTAAAGTTTCTAGATATGTTGGAAATATTGTGGGTACAAATGCTTACTGGAACAGAGTTCGAGAGGAACTTAAAGCCATAATTACAAATGTTGGAGCACCAACATTATTTTTTACTTTTTCCTCTGCAGATATGCATTGGCCTGAGTTGCATGCATTATTTAGTGCTAATGGTGACTGTGGAAATTCTAATATACCTGGTGAATTAAGGCGGCAAAATGTCATTAACAATCCTCATCTTGTGGATTGGTTTTTCACACAGAGATTAGAAAGCTTTGTTAAACACTGGCTTTATGAGACACTTGGTGCAAAGTGGCACTGGTTCAGATACGAGTATCAAGGTAGAGGTAGTATCCATTGTCATGGTACTGCTAAATTAAACAATGACCCAGGTTTGTGTCAATTAACAGACTGCTTTGAAAGGTTTCTTAGCAGAAAAATTTAAAGATGAAAATGATTGCTTTGACACAACAGAACTAGACCAGGATATTGAAGCTGGTCAGAAAGCTGCTGAGACAGTATGTCAGTATGTTGATTGGTTGTTATCAACTGTTAATCCAAATCCACCAGATGCAGACATGTGGATAAGACCTGAGGTTCATCCATGTCAACGACCTCATAAAGACATCCCTGAACATGAAAAACAGTCAGATTATGTAGATCTTTTAAACATGGTTCAAAGACACACTCGTTGTAGTACAAGTTATTGTCTTAGAAAAAAGTCAAATGAAACAGATTTGAAATGTCGATTTCATTTTCCCTATGAGCATTGTGCAAGGACAAAGCTAGAATTTGAAAAAATTCACACTAAAGATAATGATAATCATTATAGAGTTAAAGTCGTTACTCAACGAAATGATGCCAGGTTAAATAATCATCAACAACTTCAACTCCAAGGATGGAGAGCCAATTGCGATATTCAAGTTGTCATTGATCACTATGCTTGTGTTGAGTATCTGACAAAATATGCTGCTAAGGGTGAACCAAGATCGCCTTATTAAACCAAGCATTCGATTCTGTTGTTCAAAATGTAGATATTAATAGCGAGGCTCGTCGAGCTATTAAAAAAATAGTTATGAAGACTCTCGGTGAAAGGGATTATGCAGCGCAAGAGACAATGCATCATTTATTGTCATTAAAACTTCATAGCTCATCATTTAATGTGATTCCAATAAGTTTAAATGGTTCACGTAAAGTGCGTGAAAATGTTGAAGAAGGTGAATCATGCACTAATCATTCACTTCTTGACGTATATGCTAATCGTCATGAATATGATAGTTCACAAGATGTAATGAACATGAACTTCGTCCAATTTGCTACGACGTACAAAGTTGTAAACAATCAACTGGCAAAATTGCCAGAGAATGTTATACCACGAATATTTCCTACATATTCTCCAAATCCAAAAGGTCAAAATTTTGGTCTTTATTGCAAATACCAACTCTTGAGGTATAAACCTTGGAGAAGATCTCAGAATAACACATGGGGTGATCAAGAGGACCCTACTGACGAGACTTTTATCAACGCTTGGCAAGAATTCTTGCAAACACCATATGGACAACAGAATGTCCCTGATTGGTTTGACAAGTTACAAGCTGTTATTCAAAGTGAAGAATCAGAAGCTGAATCTTTTGAACAACCAGAAACAACTCGAGAGGAGTGGATGATTATATCAGATCTTCATACACCGTTTGACACAACACAAGAAACGCCAGAGTCTGAGTATGACTGGCACATTGACAGAGGTAATTACTCTGAACAAAAAATCCATGAAATGCCTTCATGGTTAAAAACAAACAAGGAAGAATTTACTATGGATGAGCAATATGATGATGTTGATATTGACACTTTTAGTGAAATGCAAAAACTTGCTTACGACATTGTCAAATGTCATTTTAATGATTCATCATCAGATAAAGAGTCATTGTGTTTGATTATAAATGGCGTAGCAGGAACTGGTAAGAGTTATCTTATCAATGGAATTCGAAATTTGTTAAAAAACAAGTGCGCTATTACTGCTACAACTGGGAAAGCAGCGTATAATATACGAGGAATAACTGTTCATTCCTTATTGAAGTTACCTGTAGGA